TATATATATATATATATGTCCTTAATTATTTATTTTTATTTATTTATTTTTACATTTTATTTCTGAGTTGCCAAACGTTCTTCTGGTACATTCTCTGTTTTATGGCTTGTGGTATTTTCTGTTCAGCTCTTTGTATCTGACCGTCACAGATTTAAAAACGAGGAACGTGGTCAGGTATAAAAATGAGAAATCAGGTGAAAGATTCCTGCAAAGACCTGAGAAATTCACCATCCTGCAGCTGATCATCTTCTGTGGCGCCTTATGCTGCTAAAATACTATTTTCTGTCTATAAAACTATTTTGTTGGCTTCATTCATAATTCAGTTAAAACAATGGTGACAAAGTGCTTTTGTGACAGAATTCTAAAAACTTGTCAAAATATCTTTTATTGTTTTTATCTAGAGTAATTTGTTCATTATGTGTCGACACAACTAATTCACCTCTTGAGGTCAGGAGCTTTTTATTTTCTGAATGAATCAGAATCGGATGCTTAAAAATTCACAAACATTTCTTGTAATCTGAAGAAAGACAAATATGTTGTAAAAATAAAGTTAAACAAGAAAGAAGCAGAACACAGAAGTTGTCTTATAAAGCACATGGAGTTGTAGAAAAACATGGATTAATATGGTTTATAGCAGGGGTCTGCAACCTGCGGCTCTGGGGCCACATGTGGCTCTTTGGTCCCTCTGCAGCGGCTCTTTCAGGCTTAGACCAAAACTAAAATAAAACTGAATTTTATTTCAATTTTTTACCAACAATGAAAATGGCTAGTTTTGGCAGATTTCCTGTCATTTTCAAATATGTGAAGGATAGTATAAATACACAACGTAAAACATATGGATTACGTCATGCTAGTAGTTTGTTAGCCACTTTAAATCAACGTCCAGTCTCTGAGTCGCTGATCTTTCTCTCAAAACCACCAGAATGTTTTTGGAATATCTTTAAGACAAGTTAAGTTAAAAAAAATTGACAACAAATTGACAAATCTTTTAAGACAAGTTGCTTAGAAGGAATATGGTGAGTAACTTTGATAACACTAAGAATAAAACACAAACAAAAAACAAAATCAAAGTAAACGAAAGTATTCATTTTTCTTTAAAAATATAATTGGATATCCAACAAACTGGCCTAATTTTATACTTTATGCTTTAAGTAGGAGCTCACATCAGCCTGCAGAGTTCAGTGTTTCATTTTTATTAAATTGTTAAAAATCGGGGTTTTTTCTTCTTTCTTTACATGAATCTGGTATTTTCTTTTGTATTAAAATGTAAAAATATCAATACATGTTAATAATAGTAAATTTTTTTCTTTTTATAATATTACCCAGCTGGAAAAGCCATCTCCAACAACCTTGTGGCCCATGGGCCACCAGTTGACAGTACACAGTTATTGCAGGTTTTGCGACTCTGTTCTCATCATAACTAGTAAGCAAGGTGGCAAAAATGGCTCTTTTTATTGCAAAGGTTGCAGACCCCTGATCTATAGCTTTCATTAAAATTAACAACATGCATGTTTTAACCAGCAGGATCTCTGAGATACGATTGCTCTGCTCAGTGATGACAAGCTGCACATGAAGCAGAATAAAATGCCATTTATTCTACAAAAAGAACCTCCTGAAGCTGACCGGAGCGCCGCATGGAAACATCTACTGCTTGATTCCCCTCTGAAAGCTGCTCTCTGAGCTGGACGCACTCATTGTGTGTCGTATTCACTGGTTTTAACAGTTCCAGATGAAGCTCCATTCTCAAAAAGGAGCTGAGGCAGCACATCCGTCGCACACAACCTTTCACAATTCACCTGGACGTTCTCTAAACACACGGCGGCTCGGTGAAGAGATGGACCTCTGCTGGCCTGAGGTCAGTCATCTCTCTGAAGGTAGGTGTTGTGACGGTGCTGAAAGTTTCTCTATTGTATATTTAAAAAATAAATAAACCTCGACATTTTGAGATTTGACCAAACGCCTGCTGTGCCTCCAGGGATATGCATGCCTCCAGGATGAGGACGGCCGAGCTGCTGCTGGTTGTGGGACTGTGTGTGTTGAGCGTCACGTCGTCCCTGAAAATCTGTGCTTTTAACGTTCAGAGTTTTGGGGAATCCAAGGCAAACAACGAGAGAGTTATGGGAATTTTACTGAAGGTACTTTGTCTGTGTGTGCAGCAGTTTTCAAAACTGGACACCTGATGGATCCATTTCTTTCTTTTTGATCTTTTTATTTCCACAAGATTCTCTCTCGGTGCGACTTGTGCCTCATTCAGGAGGTCCGAGACTCTAAAGGAGAAGTCATTCAAGCTTTGGTCAAAGATCTTAACAGGTACGAACTTTAATGGGTTAGAAGCTCCGGCGAGCTTGAACTCTAACGTTGTGTTTGTTTCTGCAGATTTGACAAATCCAACTCTTATTCCTATCTAGAGAGTGTAAGACTGGGCAGGAAGAGCTACAAAGAGCAATACGTCTATATTTACAGGTAGATTATCCACAGCTTGTTGTTTTAAAGGAGACCACGTCCTCTCAGGCCTCTCCTCTCTGATCATCTCCAGGAACAACATGCTGAAGGTCAAGGAGCATTATCAATATCCTAAACTGGAGGGAGACAGGACGAATGAAACTGAAGTTTTCTCCAGGGAGCCTTTCGTCGTCCGCTTCCACTCCCCAACGACACGTAAGACCCAACGAATCATAAAAAACATTCCTAAATCACCGCTCAGCACAGGTGCCTGGAAAAAGTCAAGTTGCTGTGAGGACATTTGAGAAAGTCAACACAAAACAGAAAAAAAACTTTCTGAAATAAGTCAGGACAAACGTGGCCAAAGAGCTGAGATGTGAGATGAATCCAAATTTTCTGTAACGAGAAGAACATGACAGGACTGATGGGGATTTCCAGAGTACCTAAACTGTGTTAACATCACAGATTCCTGATAAAAATAAAAATAAACTTTACCTTTAATTCAACCTGAAAAACAGAACAGATGAGATTATCAATAAGTAATACACAGTAAACACTAAACAAACCTGACAAATAAACAGAGACACGATGAATATGATGCTTCAAAGCATTTGTTTCAGATAATGTTCATCTAACTCTTTAAGAAGTGACCTTTTCAGATTATTTTAAGATTTTAATCCCAAAGGTCCCCTGATAGCTCAGTGTTTGGAGAGGATTATGTGTTGGAAAAAAATAATTAAACTTGAATAGCATGCGTTTAATGTAACATAAAAGAAGAAAAAAAGGCTTTAATCTTATTTGAGAGCAAAGTGCTGCCACAAAATATGAACCTGAACATTGAGAGTGATCGTGCAAAAATTATAAGCAGTGGTGGACAGTAACGAAGTATATTTACTTGAGTACTGTACTTAAGTTTTTCTGAGTATCTCCACTTTACTTGAGTATTTTTTGGGATCTTATAACTTTCACTCCACTACATTTCAAAGACAAATATTGTACTTTTGACTACATTTATAGGAAGCGTCTTGCTTCTTGTTCCTTTAGGCTCAGCTTTATAATCTGCTGTTGCTGTTTTTCTTTCCTTAAATGTAGTTGGCCAGTTGTTGATTCAGGTATTATGCTAGATTCATCTGTGCAGAACATTCATTGTTTTGTAAGCTTCTATGTTAAATATAGCAGTATACTTTCAGTTATCAGTGTTACCGTTTCCTCACCTGTGTTAAGTTGTTGCTGTCAATGCACTTTTACACACAATGTGATGCATGAATATTGAAGCTGACGAAAAAAACTAAATGTGCATCATCTGTTAGGACTTCCATGACTTTCCACAATCATGTAAAATGCATGGAAGATATAATTTGTAGTTTACAGGTTTTATTAAGGCATGTGGTGTTAGAGTGGTTCTACATGTCAATACATCATCAGGTGGTTTCAGAGAGTTACAAGGTTCTAAATCACTCAAAACAATACAGCAATGTACTGATATTAGAAAATATAATTTGTACTTTTAAATATTTTGGTATTTTTAAATGCATGGACTTTTGAATACTTAAGTATTTTCAAAATAAGTACTTCAGTACTTTAACTTGAGTAAACTTTTGACTGAGCAACTTTTACATGTAGTTGAGTAAGATTTGACCATGAGTATAAATACTTTTACTTAAGTACTAGAGTACTTTGTTCACCACTGAAAGCAATGGTGGATTAGAATAAAAGAAAACGATCTGACTGGAGATTCTTCTCTACGTGATCAAAAACATGCATGTGAGGCGATCACAGAGAGTGATTCAAGCCTTTACAGCCCTGAGGGGGTTTGGGAGGAGTATTTTTGGCTGGAATGGTTTGAAAACTCTGATCTTCTTGCACATCAGTAAAAGGTTTTATGAGCGATCACCCAAATCCTACAAGGAAACACTTCAATCGTTTCTTCTGTGACATCACGGCCACTCATTGGAGCTCAAGAAGGCACCGATGATGATCAGACTTTAGTTTCCGCAGATCTCAGATCAGAAGAACAGCTTAAGGAGAAGAAGCAAATGAGGATTTCAGTCTTCGGACTTATACAGCTGAATGTGTCAGAGTTTCCTGCAGCATATGAAAAGACAACACCGTAGTAAGACTTGTTTTGTTGTCTTTATTCCTTTATCTTCGATTGCTGCATGGCAAACTGCACTTTGTGTTTCATCTCCAATAATCAAAGGAATGAATTACCCCAGCAGCTTGTCATCCTGTTCCTGTTTGCAACAGATGAATGTAAACCAGGTGTGTCGCAGGAGAGGAACACCTCCAACGTTCAGGGCAGCGTGCTCCAAGGACCAGGAAGTGTTATCTTAAGCTGGAATATATGCTCCAGAAAACCTGTTTTCTAATAAGCAAAGTTAGACACCAGAGCTGAAATATTAAATGAGTGAAAAGATAAATGAAACAAAACTGCTGCGCCAAAAAGACAAAAACATCAAATAGCACAGAGTAATTACACTTTGATGAAGTTAACGTGTAAGATTCACTCCTGGAACAAGGCGCTCCCTAACCGTGCGCTCACTTTCAGAGCTGAAGGATTTCGTCCTGATTGGGCATCACACGTCTCCCAAATCTGCCATGAAGGAGATCGATGAACTGTTTACTGTCGTCAAGAGGATTTCCAAGAAGTGGAGGACTGATGTAGGTTGGACCGCATCCTCAAGCGCTCGCTTTCTGATTTTGTTCTCTACAGACCTCCACGTTGGCTTCTCTCGTCCACATGCGTGTAATTTAACCCCTGTGTTTCTCTTCTTGTTTGCTTCTTCTCATCCCCAAAAGAACGTGATGATCTTAGGAGACCTGAACGCCGGCTGCAGCTACGTCACCATCAAAGGTTGGAAGAGTGTGCGTTTGAGGAGCGATCCCAAATTTTGTTGGCTGATTGGAGACGAGCAGGACACCACCGTGAGGGAGAAAACCCACTGTGCCTACGACAGGTTGAACTGGAGCACACATCTGCAGAGGTTTTCAGTCTTTGACGTTCAGTGGATGTTCATTTTCTGAAGGAATTCATCTTCACACAGGATTATTGTGCACGGAAAGGAGATTAGGTCCAGTGTGGTGCCAGGATCAGCTCAACCCTTTAACTTTAAGGAGGCTTTCCACCTCACGGAGGCAGAGGTAGACCCTGACAAAGATATTCCTGACTTATCGGTTTTAAACAATAATCCTGTTTGTTTGAATCCTCTTCAGGCTCTTGAGGTGAGCGACCATTTTCCTGTGGAAGTTGACCTGAAGCCCAGCCATCGCTACCTCTTCCGCCATGAGCTGTAGACCAGACGACCATCAGCAGCTCTTTTAATTTAAATTGATTTTAATAAACTCAAATAACCATAAATATAATTTCTGACCGCTCTGGTTTTTAAAAAGTGGCTCTGACCTCTCATCAGACTCATCACAGTCACATCTTTTAACGCTGTTTCAGAGTGAGGGAACTGTGCGCTCCACCGCCGGAGTTTATGTTGCGCTTGTGAAACCAAACCCACATCAAAGCTGACATTTCTCGCTCTCATCTAGGTGTCTACGTGCAGCAAATGAAAACACAAAATATTTGTTGGAGGACTTTACTTTGACGAAGAATAAAAACACAAGGGATTGCCGTGGATCTTCATCTTTTATGGTAGGTTCGTATTTATTACAACTTTTCGGTCTTTGAAGTAAATGTTTTAGCTCTGATGTGTACATTTATGCCCGATCTGTTTGACAGGAAACCACTTACAGCAGATGAGAGTCACTTCAAGTGCTCTTTCTTTTAGAGAGAAAAGACTGAACTTCAAAATAAAATATTATATATCCTAATTTAAATCTTGACTTGTTTATCTGTAAAGATGGATGATTTTGCTGATCTCCTCAAAGGTGCATTCTCAGGTAAGACAGCAATTTACATTGGGATTTATTATAGTTTTATTCATTTCTCTTTAAAAATAAAATAAAATAATTCCCAGGCGACGCTGTTATTACAGAGTCTTCTGCTTCATCCTTTTCCGATGGAGAACTGGACTTTGAGAGTTTGAGCGTTGATGAGAAGAGGGAGGAAGACAAAATGGAGAGTTTGACAACAAAGACGGATGAGGCTCTGCTTCAGGAAGCTGCAGATGAGAGCGTGGTGACCACAGACACTCTGCTCGTGGCTGAAAACCAAGAGTCGGCCAGCGATGAAAGTGACGAGGAGGACACAAGCTCAGAGGAAGAAGGTTCTTCGTCTGGAGATGTGGAAGAGAATGTAGGAGCATTAGAGGAACCAGAAGGTTTATTGATGTCTGTCTGCTGCAGTGACGACCTTTATGATGCCCAAAATGAGGAGGAGATCTTTGCTGAGGGACCAGCTATGGCCTCAGAGGGGACAGATAACCCTAAAGATAGCAACAAGGTGCAAGGTGAGGCTGAGAGAGACGAGGAGGCATCATATTTTGGAGGAATACCTGAACGCGGAGACGAAACTATGATGATAGAACGAGAAAGAGAAGAGTCATCCGATTCTGACAGTGAAGACATGACAACTGAACAAGAAGAAAACATCCCTCTCCAAGAGACTGACAACTCCTACAAGATCAGTTCCACGGTGAAAGATAATTTGGCGTTCCAGGGCTTGTCTTTGGAGAATTTGCAGAATCTCATCACTGAAGTAGATGGTGAGAAATATGCAGAGAAAATGACAGATTTCACAGGAGATGAGCACCAAGAAGCAGGCGAAACCATCGCAGATTATCCATCGGACTTCTCCTCTGGTGAATACGCAGGAGCTGAGTTGAACGCCTCGCCTCCTGTGAAGCAGGAGCAAGGAGCTGTGACAGAAGCCCCATGGATCGGAGGCACGGAGGACTCTGGATGTGAGAAGGATGATGGCTTTTTGTACAGTGCAGACTTGGAGATGAACACTGAGAAGGTGGTGAACGTGGATGTAGCAGCTGGAGAACATGAAGGTCCTTCATTGGCTGTGATGGGTGACAGAAGCTCCTACAGCTCCAGTGATGATGAGGAGCCATTGAGAGGAACCAGGGAGGAGCCCTCAGATGATATGAACGTCCGAGACGTTGATAACGTGAAACTGGAGGATGTTCAGCTTTGTGAGTTTTCCAGGTGGAGCGGCTCCGATGATCAAACCATAAAGGACAGATCTGATCCAGCAGATTTCATCAGGTCAGGTTTTGACATGTTAAAAACCAAAAACTTTCTGTCCGAGCACCTGCTAACCACAGAAGGCATAGATGAGACAGAAGATCTTCCTTCAGATGAGAATCAGTGTCCGGCTGAAGACGTAAACTGCTACTCTGTCGTGCAAAGAGCAACAGCAAGCCCTTGGAGTCAGGGATCCATTGACGACGGCTTCTTATTCAACGTCGGCTCCTCTGAGGTCAGTGAGACCCTGCAGCTGGCCAATGATAACAAAGAAGAGAAAACTAACTCTGAACAGATGCAGGAGAGAATTGAGGCCTTCAAAAGGTTTTATGACAACAGTGATGACAAGGACGGAAAAGGGGGTGAGTGTTCAGGACAAATATGAAGCAGAGTGTGATCAATAAGATAGTCATCACTTTCCTAAATGTTTGTTTTCAGAGAGACAAATAAAAGTTCAGTTCTGTGCAGACCCATTGTCCCAAGTCAATTACTATGAAACTGACAGGTACGTAATAAGATAAACTTGAAACTGGGGGAACGGTAAATTAACCGGATTTAAACTAATGATTGTTTTGTCTTTTCTTAGCAGTGACAGAGATTCACTCAGCAGCTCCACAGACATGGAGGACGACCTGAGCTCTGAAGTAAGAAAAATCTCCATTTGCGCATATGAACAAACATGGCATGACACAAACGATAAATACTGTCTCGTGTCTTTGTGTCCAGGAGCTGAAGAAACCTGAAGACATCCTGGAAACTATCCCTATATGCGAAACCCCAAAACTCGAGCTGCCACAGAGTGTGCCAGAAGTTAGAGACACACAAACCTGCACAAAAGCATGCAAGGTATGCAACTCTGGGCATTTGCTGAAATAAACTCTTTGTATGCGTGTTTAACTCAGTGTCTTGTGTTTTGCTCTCACAGGGTGGCAGTAAGCTGAAGCTGATGTTAAATTTGGGTGTTGTGATGATGACGGGACTCCTGATGTTCTGGCTGGTCACAGACAAACCTGACTGGCTCAGGGATCTTTTCTCTGTTTAAGGATGCAGCTAATTTTGGTCCTTTTTTATTACCGTAATAAATAAAACAATAAAAATAAAGTACTGGTTTGTAAAAACATGCAGAAAAACCTCTGTGCATACACAAAATTCCTTTTTATTTTTTTGCCTAATAAAATATTTCTTGTTGTTTGAATTGATGTTGGCATTTCTTGCATTGGAAATAATAGCTTTTATTGATTAAAAAATAATAAGAGTAAACCTATTGCAAATGACACGGAACTAGAGTTGTTTTTGACCAAGTTGAACAAAACACTATAAAAATATTTCAGTAGTAAAACTTTTTCTCCTGTTTATTATTTTAAAGCATTCATATCTTCTAAAGTCCTGATAAAGAAACTGGTCTAGATGACATGATTTAACCTTTTTTTGTTGATAAGTTATGTCACATTTATCATCAAAACTGGGAGTAACCGAGACCAAAATTAGCTACTGTAAAATTAATTCAGATAAAAGTTAAAAAAAAAAAAAGACTTCAAGATTTCACATGTTCATCTAATGATTACTTACACTAAAATCCGTCCCCTAGTTCATGAGCAACTGCTGACGCGGCAGAAAAACAGAAACACTGACTGTACAACGTAAAAATATCATTCTGCCTGCAGATGGCGCTGCTTCATACAAACGAAGGAAAACTGAAATTAAAACGGAAGTGACGTAAAACGGCAACCAAGAAGAACACTCGTTTGTTTTCTTAGCTCAATATGAGAGGGCGGGGTTAGCATGCTACACGTTAACCGTTCGATTTTTATCTTGTTTTACCGGTGCTACCAGTGACAAAGAGCGAACGCTCCGGTAGTGGGTGTTGATTCTGGACTTACTGTATGTATTTTTTTTTACAGTCGAGACGAAAGTTTCACCTCAACATAAACTCAATAAGCCGCACAGATAAGTAAATATGGCTTCGCTGAGTAATAAGTCCGCGGAAGAAATCAGCCAGCTGTTGGATGAATACGGAATCAAACATGGACCCGTGGTCGGTGAGTGTTTCTGACCCAACTCGGTTCAAGCGGTCGTTCCACTGAACTTCTCAGGCCTCCTGCTCGTTTGTCTGAAGTTTGAACATGTCATATTTTAGGTAAAGTTATGGGTATTTTATTCTTCGTGTTTCAATATATGTGTTTTAAACAGACACCACCAGAAGTCTGTATGAGAAAAAGCTGAAAGAAGCCATGGCTAAAGACAATAAAGCTAAACCGTCATCTGACAAAACGTACTACAGGGAGGAGGGTAAGTTGTATTTAATCACTGGCAGCTCAGTTTGTAAAGAATTTCGTTAGAGTGTATACATTTATCACTATGTATATTTACCTCATAATGATATATCTTATCATTTATCTCAGTGTACACTAATTCAAGTGCATTTATTGTTGCATTTTATATGGCTATAATCACTTTTAAACTGTACACTGTTGTATATTCTATTAGTCCTGTTTTTTATTTATTTATTTTAACGAAACTGTCCTTTAAGCAAAATCTGTGTAGCTGGTTAAAATGCTGGAATAATTAAACTTAATAAAATTAAAATAAATTATGTGAATTGTATTTATTAATTAATACAAATTATTCTTTACCTTTAAAGTACAGCATAATTTGTATTTATTAAAGAGTAAATAGTTAACAAAAACTGAAGTCAGTAATCAATGTTACTTTTGTGTGTTAATAGAAAAAGGTCCAAACTACTCAAGCTGTGTAAATGCATATGATACAGATAAAGAAAAATGCATAAATAAATATAATCTAAAATTCTTTTTTCAAATCGCTATTAACTATTAGCATGCAGTGGAAATGTATGGAACAACAAAATGCTCAAAATTAATAAATAATAATAATTAAATAAGTATCTAGGCTCATTATTACAAAAAAAATAAATAAATCATTTTTATTCTTTTATTTTATAATTGTGTTTTCCATGATGGTTTATTTATTTCATAATGCCACTTTTCAGCAGAATGACTTCAGCTGTCAATCAACGTCAGTGGGTTGGACCTGCACGCTCACTGGCTGAGCCTTCACACCCATTACCAAAAATGTCCATGCTCAATAATCCAAGTATACAATCCAACAATTTTCAGTCAGGTCATCTGGACAGTTTCTTTTTTTGCTGAAACAGTTCACCTTCCATCCAGAAGGCTTCATCAGTCAAGGAAACACACAACACAAAACTGATTCTTCCCCCAAACAGCTTACTCCAAAGTGGAACAAACCAGATTATTGGATTATTGAGCATGGTCCTTTTTGGTTTTGAACCAGTTTGACATGACTGTCGACGAGGAAGAGGGCCAGCACAAGAGGGAGGGGGCGTGCCAAGGACACATCTTAGCACCAACATAACTGGTTTGTTTCACTTAAGTAAGCTGTTTGGGGGAAGAATCAGTTTTGTGTTGTGTGTTTCCTTGACTGATGAAGCCTTCTGGATGGAAGGTGAAACGTTTCAGCAAAAAAAGAAACTGTCCAGATGACCCGACTGAAAATTGTTGGATTCACATCCATTAGTTTTCCTGAATACCTGCTCACTCACAGACATAATTTAGAGCTAATAATTTAGATATAATTTTTAATTTAAAGCAAACAAATAATCGTTTGTATGTGTTAATCTTGTGAAATTCAAAGAACTAAAACAGTGAGTCCGAAAGACTTCTTCAGTCTGAGGAGCTGTATTCAGCTTAGCCTTATAAGTAGCACCCTCTCATAGTCGGATCAACCAGTTGTTGACATTCAAAACTAGATGTTCACATGTTCAAGGAGGACCATCAGCCTAACAATGGGTAACCTGATGGCTGTTTGCTATTCACAGGGGGCTGAGTGATACTAGCAATAACAGCAGATGTGAAGGCTCATCCAGTGGGCATGCAGATCAGCCCACTGACGTTGATTGACAGCTGAAGTCATTCTGCTGATAAGAGTCAATGTGAAATAAATAAGCCATTATGAAAAACGCCATTATGAAGCTATCCTGAAAAACACAATAATTAAATAAAAGAATAAAAATGTTTTTTTTTTTTTTTTCATTTCATAATGTTTTATTTGTTTAATTTTGAGCATTTTGGTGTTCCATAGCTATGGAGAAATTAATACAAACCATGAATAAAAAGAAAAATACATTATATAATTATTCCATTTTTGTGGTTTGTATTTTTTCTGGCAGATATTGCATGTCAAACTCGAGTCTGATAAGTACAAACATTTGCTGTAACTTTATTGTTATATTTGTGTGGTTTTTTTTTACACAGAAGAAGAAGAAATCACTTATGTTTACACAACACCGGTAAGCATCTTTTAGACCCTTTTCAGGCATTTGTGGTTCTGTTTTGTTTATGTAATATTTACCTTTTTTTAAATTTGATACAAGTACCAAAAAGAACAAATATATTCAACGCTGTTGAAACAATGGCGACAATACTAACAGTAAAAGTTAACTTTGTATCATGTTAAATGTTGGTTATTTTCAGCCACAAGTTTCATTAATTCTGTTATTACCTGGAGACGTTTGGAAATTATTAACGATTATAATATCATTTACCTCATTAATGTTTCTTTTTTATTGCACCGGACTTCATTATGAATGTTTGTGTGTTTCCTGAAACGCTACAGTAGAGCTGGACGATATCTCGATATTTTAAAAATATTGAGATAATTTAAAACACGGTATAAAACGAGACTATATAAAAAGCACTCCTCGGCGCTTCCGTTGAACAAGGCTGTTCGTCTGCCTCTCCTCGGGGAGGAAGAGCTCACCGGGACGGCAGGAGGTTGGCGCGGCAGAGACCCGGGCATCCTTAGCAAAGGTTGTGCCGGTCAAAGCTGGACAACTTTTCCTTCTTCGTTTTTCTGACAGTGCTAGCTAGCTGGCTGAAGAAAAAATGGGAGCCGATTACCCGGTCTCACCGTAATTTATACGGACCGGGGGTGAGGCCCTCACACAGCAGGTGGGTGTGGACTAAAGTTTTTTCAGTGCAGCGCTGAGCGCATAGGGATAAACCCACTAGCGAAAGTCTTAAAGGGCTACGCCTATACTCATAGAATCTGGGGTTACAGTACGTAACCAACGTTTTTCTCCCAGTCTGCAGGTAGCTGCCTTCACGCCACCCCTCCTCTCCCTCGCTGAATACAAACCCGCCCCTCCCCGGCTGCTTGCTCCAGCTGAAGAAGCTTAGATATGCAAGATAGATGCAGGATATGTAGATAGATTAGATAGAAGCTTAGATATATATTTAAACAGAGGAGGAGGTCTCAGATGTCAACTTTCAAAAACTTATAATGCAGCTTTAGGACTGATACCCAGCCAACAAAGTCCATGCTCAATAATCCAAGTATACAATCCAACATTTTTTAGTCAGGTCATCTGGACGGTTTCTTTTTTGTGCGCTGAAACGTTTCACCTTCCATCCAGAAGGCTTCATCAGTCAAGAAAACACACAACACAAAACTAATTCTTCCCCCAGCAGCTTACTCCAAAGTGGAACAAACCAGTCATGTTGGTGCTAACATGGTGTCTTTGGCACGCCCCCTCCTCCATTGCCAGCCCTCTTTCTTGTTGACAGTCTTGTCAAACTGGTTGAAAACAACAAAGTCCATGCTCAATAATCCAGGTATACAATATGTGATGTAATGATACCCAGCCAGTTTCACACCTATCAGGAATGTCATCCATAGCTATGTTTACATGTGCAAAATTCTTTGACTGGATTGAAATGTTTTCAGATTAATTAATTCAAATGTATCGTTTACATGGGCACAATCTGTTCATGACGATCATTTACATGCAGAGGGCTTTGTGCTGAACAGAAGTACTGACATGTGCAGAGTGGTAAACTCTCCTTAAAAAACACAGAAGAAGTTCTACTTCCGGTTTACTTCCGGGATGAACGTAAACAAACATGAGCGCCCAAAATGGACCCGCGACAGGTTTTAATGACTGTGGAGACGTTACTGCGCTCCCTGACTGAGCTACAGGTAATACAGGTCATTTTGAGCTCTTTCAAAGTTTCTACTAGAAATGTTGTGTCGCTCACCGACCAGTTTTGCTTCCCCGACATGCTAATATTGTTAGCATTAGCAAGGCAGAAATGGCAAAGTCGCACATGTGCAGTCAGATCAGTTTTTCACGATCAGAAAAAATTGAACAGATCAAGCATTTACATGCGCACCGTTGGGGTTATGAATCAGCGTAAATCACCCGTTTCGTTCTGATCACAAATTATTTTGGATCACGCGGAATAAACAAAAAAACAACCTGAACAGGGTGTTTACATGATGCATTTTTATTCTGAACGGCCGTTTGATCCGATTACTTATGTCCATGTAAACATAGCTCATGTGACCAGAGTGGTCCATCTGTGAATTGGATTAACAAATCCCTACTGTGAGGTGTGATAGGTCAATCTGCATATGTATGTATCTTACCTTAGCTTTGTAACTCGAACCCCACACTCCCTGTTCTTTGAATTGAGAAAGCTTCTCGAATGAGAAGCGAAACGTCTTCTGATACAAATAAATCCAGTTGTTTTTGTCTTGAACTTTTTTGAATTTACTATGTCCTGGATGACTGAGGGGCCGTTTACACGGCGTGTATTTTGAGTGCATCCGCAGCTTTCTCTCTGCGGTTCTGCTGATCATTTATACGACACCAGTGGCCCCCCTCTTTGAATCCGGAGGTTTCTGCACCCACCTTCCAGAGTGGAGGTTTTTCGCTGACCCCCGCTGATAATGTAAACATCTCCCGCTGAGGCTTTGTGTTAAACCACATGCGCACGCGCGGCCAGACGCTATATTTCTATCAACATGGCGGTGGATACACTGCTTTCAGAACCTCTATTGATGGAATATATTTTAATCTCTTAGTTAATCTACGTCAGATTCCAGCTGCTGTGACCGACATTTGTGTTGGAAGAGACACAATCTGATCCAGTTCTAATATCGCTGTTTATAGAACGAGCCACGCGCACACGTTGCGCTGCACTATAACATCTAAATGTGCTAAATAATAACAGTTTAATAATAGTAAACAGTATTTATGTTAGTGTGCGAGATATAATGAAGCTCTGAGCTAAATGAAGCTATCTGAACTTTATATCCTGATGCATGCACTTTATGTAATTCAAATTTAAAATTATGCTAAACGTATAGCGTGAACACTAAAGTTGAAAATGAAGACATCAGGTTTAATTTTTATTTTATTTATTTATTAAACACTACAAACTGTATGTCACACAAACACTCATAATTATACTGAACACACTATTAAAGCACTTTCACTGAACTTGAATGGATTGAATAAAAGAACTGAGGGGAATTTTAAATAAATAGTTCATCCAATAGCTCTCTTCGAAGTCCTCCTGCACTGCACCTGGGCCGAGCCTCGTTCAGAACCGGTCCGCCTGGTGGGAGACAGCTTCTTCTTTCGTGAAAAATAAAAACTCAGTTGTTTTGTAACCGAAGTAAACACAAACTGACATTATTAAGAACGTTGATTTACCTGCAGTAAAACAACTACTGATTATCATCGTCGACTCTGTTCTGGTCCACTCAGTGACCGGTGTGGAGCTGTTAGACGAAGCGGTCCCGCTTGGCGTCAAATCTGTCGACTCTTATCCACAATCCAGCCAGAATCCAGCTTTAACTTGTTGTTACGTTGTTAGCTAAACTTTTTAGCTCACAGGAAAAGAGCGTGCCGAGGCAGCACGCATGCGCATTAGGTGAAGGTACAAAATTCACAGCGCCATCTAATGACCCGGCATGGTAACTACAGCGGATTCGGGAGGGCAGGGGGGGAATCCTCTGGATGTATGTAAACCCAAAATCTGACCGTGTCAACACAAATCTTTTCCTCTAATTAACATACAAAAAACCCTACGTTTCCCCCCATCGTGTCCGTGTAAATAGGGCCTGAGAATCTTCACCAGCGTAAGCTTAGATATGCAGATATGTCTTTGTTGACTCACAGTGGGAGAGCCACTTTAAATTCCTGATAAGGTATGAAAAATGATGGTAGCTGCTACAAAGGAGAGGTTTGTTGTTCTCCAGGAAATTAACTGGTTTAGAGTGGCACGGCATGAAGTTGTCTTCTCATTAAAAATCATGGAGACAAATATCCAGTTTAGGGTGATTTTTGCTGCGTTCTGGTATTTACACACAGCATAAAAGCACAAACAGAAGCTCAAGGCTCAGCAAAGCTGCAAGGCTCCGTCTGTGTCGGGAGAGGAAAAAAACTCCAAAAGAACAACACACGCAGCTCTGAACTTTGTTTACACAGAGCGATGCGTTCACCAGCATCACAGCCATGGTGCATTCAAGAGCATAGGAACTATTAAATTCAGAAAGAAATGAGCCGTAATCAAACAGAACCGAGCTCAGTAAACAAGACAACTACACAACAATGTGGGCTTTCTAACAGCTTTGGTTATAAAGGTTGAATGGACATACTTCATTAGAATCAAACTTTTTAAAGAGCAAGTCAGCCTTTCGTTACGTTTGCTCTGTATGTTTTCTGTTTAAATTTGAAGTGCACAGCTGTGTTTTTGGTTTTGTTATGCAGGGAAAAATTATTTTATTTTTGAGATATTTATTTTGTACAGTTACAGCTTTGTTAAGCTGTGTGACAGTTGGGACAAAGCTTTGACTCAGAAATATATTTTATTACTTTATGGAAAGAAAATAATATTGTGATATATATCGTATATCGCCGTTTATCTTAAAATATCGAGATATAAATTTTGGTCCATATCACCCAGCCCTACACTACAGTGTCTACAGTGAAGTATGAGATGACTGCTTACTTTCTTTTTTGTATCGCGCATGATACATCTTATGACAGATTTTCAGATTTATAATTAGTTAAATATAATTTTGTTGTCATTGCATTAAAAAAAAAATCAAAACTTTGTCACAATTATTGGCCTTAATATATTTTTTATTTCTAAAGTGAGAAAAGCATATTGTACAACCGCTGTAGATGTAAATATAGCCTAGATTCTACATGAGCTTTGTTTACAATAAATTTGTTATAAAATGTTATTTATCATTTCTTGTTTCGACTTTTCAGAACAGAAGTGAAGGCACTGGAGACAGGTCAGTTCATTTACAGCTTTGACTCAATCCTAATCTAGATTGACTTTCCAAATGAAGCTATAAAATCCAACCAGCAGTCCGAAGAAGTAACCACGATCTGTCTCGTCCATTCAGAAGGACTTACATGAAATCAAGACCAGAATGGACTGGGAGGGAATATGAACACGAGTAAGTTTACATTATACAAACTGTTTTTACTCCTTTATCTGATGATAGGTAATATTTAAAATAAAAACATATACACCTCCTTTTTGTCTTTCTGCAGGACCTCCTACTCCGGCTACTCACAGTCAAGGCCTGAATATAGAGGAAGAGGTTTTGCTGAATCGTAAGTGTTTCTGTGACGTTTGGACATCGGCAGATGAGGTTCTAACTTCTAATAAAAATGTATTTACTTGTCTTTTTTTTTCTTTTTTTTTTTCTGTCTGCAGTTCAGCTCTAAAGTTAAACTGTTTTTTTTATTATTCAATCATCTGGAAAGCTAGAAAGAAAATGGCGCTCCACTAACATTGAGGAATCGTACTTATTCTTGAGAGATAGCCTGCTAACGTACAAAAAAGCTCTCCGTAAAGCTAGAACTTTATATTATTCATCTTTAATTGGTGATAATAAAAATAACCCCAGGTCCATTTTCAGTACCATAGCTAGTCTAATGAAAACTCCTATCTCTGTTGATTCATGTATCCCTACAACTAAAAACATTGATGACTTCATGAGATTGTTTATAAATAAAATTGTTTCAATTAGGGAAAAAATTCAAACCAACATTCCTAGTATCGCCACTGGTTCTGTGTCAGATGACAGTGAGACAACTTTAAAAATGTCACTAGAACATAATTTATGTTTGGACTGTTTTTGTCTTGATGAACTCTTTGAATTGTCAAAAACAATAGCTTCATCTAAACCATCCACATGTCTGCTAGATCCCATCCCAACCTGACTATTTAAAGAAGCATTTCCCTTAATTAATAATCACATCTTGAATCTGCTTAATTTGTCTCTTATAAACGGTTACGTACCACAGAGCTTTTAAGATTGCTGTAATTAAACCTTTACTGAAGAAACATAACCTTGACTCAGGAATCCTAACCAATTATAGAACTATAACTAATCTAACTTTGATCTAAAGAATTCTAGATAAAATATTTGCTGGTCAGTTACATGATCATCTGCAAAGAAATAATCTGAAGAGTTTTAGAGCTCACCACAGCACTGAATCTGCACTAGTGAAAGTTACTAATTATATTCTCATGGCTTCTGACAATGGACAGGTGTCTACACTGGTCCTGTTAGACCTCAGTGCTGCATTTGATACAGTTGACTATAATATTCTACTACAGAGAATATGAATATGACATTGGGATTACAGGAACGTCTCTAAATTGGTTTAAATCATATCTAGCTGATAGATTCCAATTTGTAAATGTAAAGAATGAATCTTCATCATACACCAAAGTTAGTCATGGAGTTCCTCAAGGTTCAGTGCTTGGATCAATACTCTTTACCTTGTACATGCTCCCATTAGGTAAAATTATTAAACAGCATGGGATACATTTTCATTGTTATGCTGATGATACAGTTTTATTTGTCCATGAAACCAAATGAATTCAATCAGCTACTCGGACTACAAGCATGTCTTAAAGACATAAAAACCTGGATGACTCTAATTTTTCTGCTTTTGAACACAAACAAGACTGAGGTTTTAGTTTTTTAAAACTGAGCATCTCAGGCATACATTTTTCAGTCTTTCGCCCTCCTTGGATGGCATTAACCTGGCCTCCAGTTCTAATGTTAAAAATCTTGGTGTTATTTTTGATCAGGACATGTCTTTTGGCCCCCACATTAAAAACGTTACTAGAACCGTCTTCTTCCGCCTGCGTAATATGTGTATGTATTGTCATCATCTGTGTGATCTGTGTTGTGAACCTGTATACTCCACACTGGTTTGTCGTCATATTATCTGCATCGTTTTTATGTCTATATTTTTTATTTACTTCATTTTGTATATTGCTTCGTGTGTTGTCTGTTGTTCTGTCTGTACAGCACTTTGGTTGGCCTTGTAGCTGTTTTAAGTGCTCTATAAATAAAATGGTATGGTACGGTATCATTGTATGTTCCCATATAATGGCGAAATTGGCTTTCTGCATTTAACCCATTCACCACCAGGTGGAGCACTGGGCAGCTATTGGAATCGCCTGGGGAGCAAGTGGTGATGAGATGTAGGGCTCAGAGACACCACCAGGTGTGCAATGACTGAGGATCAAACTCAGGACCTTTGGGTCCCGAGTCAGCTGCCCTGCCTCTACACCATCTTGGCCCCCATATATACACTGCCTGGCCAAAAAAAAAGTTGCCACCTGGATTTAACTAAGCAAATAGGTGCAAGCCTCCTATTGGATAATTGCTGCATGGGCGATTATCTTTCAGCTGGCAACGAGTTATTTAACCCCAACTGGTGCAATGAGTTGCTTCTCATTTCTTAAACAACCATGTCAAAAGACGCATCGCGTGGTCGTGGAAAAGATGTCAGTCTGTTTGAGAAGGGTCAAATCATTGGTATCAAGCAGAGAAAACATCTAAGGAGATTGCATAAACTACTAAAATTGGGTTAAGAACTGTCCCAACGCATTATTAAAAACTGGAAGAATAGTGGGGACCCATCCTCTTCGAGGAAAACATGTGGCCTACTGTACAAGCCTATGGGGGCAGATCTGGGGTTGGTCAGGTCCAGGTTCAGCAACAGTATGTGCTCAAAGAATGAGGTCAGCTGACCTGAATATACTGAATGACCAGGTTATTCCATCAATGTATTTTTTTCTTCCCTGATGGCACGGGCATATTCCAAGATGACAATGCCAGGATTCATCGGACTCGAATTGTGAAAGAGTGGTTCTGGGAGCATGAGACATCATTTTCACACATGGATTGTCCACCACAGAGTCCAGACCATAACCCCATTGAGAATCTTTGGGATGTGTTGGAGAAGTGGTCAGAATCTGCCATCATCAATGCACGATCTTGGTGAAAAATTAATGCAACACTGGATGGAAGTAGATCTTGTGACATTGCAGAAGCTTATTGAAACAATGCCACAGCGAATGCATGATGTAATCAAAGCTAAAGGTGGTCAAATGTGACACCCCCCCCCCCCCCCCCATGCAGCTATAACTGCAACTAAATGTTTCCAGTAACTGATTTTATTCAAAACATTTTAGTCAGGCGCTGCGACAAGTGAAACTTGCAATAACAGCACTATAGGAGGGGGACACTTGAACAGGGAAGCCCCTGCCCCCATTTAACGATGAACAGGTTCTCTTCACAAAGATGGCTTACTTCACTCCTCTCTCAAACCGTCGTTCCTCTCCATCAAGGATGTGAACATCTTCATCTCTGAAAAGAGTGACCGCTGGCCCGCAGAAGAAACTGCAGAGTCTTGGCCTGATGATGTTCTTCTTCTGTGCTGGACCATCCTTTTGGCCAGTGGCTGTTTAGTTTCCCCAATGTAAGACCGAGCATGCTCATATACATTTATATTATTACTGGTAAGCATGCATCAAGACAAGATTATATTAAACATTTTTTGTCAAATGTGCACAAACTGATCTAAGGTATCAATATAATTGTTTAAAGTTGTTGCTTCAAGCGTAAATGGTCCCGTTTCTGCTTCACTGAAATAAAACTTCTACGATTTGTTTTTCAGGCCCCACATGTACGACACCCCGTCCACGTTCAGTAACTCCTCCCTGAAAGCAACACCCCCTAAGTCGGGTCAGGATGCTCAGAAGGCAGCGAAGTCGACTCGTCTCGTCCCTCTGTGGCTTCAGTTCTTCTTCTTCCTCGCCGTGGCGGTCTTCCTCTACTTGGTTTTCTCCAATATGGAGACCAATGAAACCATAAAAGGACTGGAATGAGTTAATTTTTCTCTTAATTGACACTGGGGGAACTTAGACATTATTCTGCATTTAATGTTGAAGAATGATATTTTAAACGTTGCTGTAATTGTGGTTTTTGCAATATTTGTGTTTTTAGCTCATGCTTTCACCTACTTGTGGAATATTTCATTTTCCCCCAGAGGTTCACAACTCTTAAGTGAACAAATTGTAACACTAAATCTTTCAGTCATGAGTGGATTGCTGCGCTGTCCATCCAGATAGTTGCAACACGATCTGATCAGTGTCGCTGCTCGTTAGCCGTTTTGCCATGAGTTCCAACAGATTTTACATTTTATCCAATGCCGTGGACGTCAAATCGTAGCACTTCGTACTATAACGCAACAAATAAAAGCACCACACCCTGCTCTGTAACAAAAACTTTATTGCCGAAAGCTTCCAAAGTTCAGTGAATCCAACTTCTTTTAAGATGCTGAAAAATAAATATTTTTATGTCAAGTTGGCAAATCAAATTAGCTTTTTTCTATTAAAATTTAAATTGACGAAGCAGTAAAAACACCTTGAACAGTGTCTATATAAAGTCGGTGCAGTGTTATTTTAAAGTCAATATCAAAGTGTTACGATGCATTTCTGATGCTTCCTTTTATTCCTGTCAAATTACACTTAAGCTTATTTTGGTCAAATTGAAGCACCTTTGTTTTAATAGCAGCTGTGTAAATGTGGATTATTAGTCAAGATACACAGGTGATGGGGGGGGGTGTTGTCCAAGTAAAGATACACATACAGCACAGGACGAGCTGTAACATGTCAGATGCCACATTTTTGTACAACATATTCCATGTTTGTATAATGTGTTTTGTATTTTGGTTTCATAATAAAGAGTTTGTATATGTACTCATTTCAAGTTTCATTTATTCAGGAACAAAACTAGTTGGACCATGTTTAAAAGCCTCCATCTGTTCTGGAGTTGGAGGTGATAAACAGAAGTACCCTTCAGTAACATTTTCAATATCATTGTCTTAACGACTTCCACACAAAACTCATTGGGCATTTAATATTTTATTTTACTATAACTTATTTACAGACACAAGTGCATTAATGATGATGCATAGTAGTTTGTCTTGAGCTATAAACATCCTTAAAAGGAGTGCTGCTCTGTAAACATTTGTATAATTATGTAGTAGAGTCCATTAGTGTTGAAACATTTTGATCTGATGAACTTGGTCAGGTTTAGTACCAGTTTTACCTCCAACATTGTGGCAGGTTTATCCTCAAACTACCAAAAACGTTCAACTTCCTGTTGGCCCACTAAACGTTTTATTTTACACCCTTATTAATACAGTGATGGATGATGGTCTTGTCCATTGTCCAGCAATAAAACTGCTAATGAATAACATGAAAAACCGTACGGAATGTCTCAGACACTGCCCATCAAAGTGCTGAGTAAAGTTGGTCCTCATCCAGACTAGATGGCAGCAGGCAGTGGATGATCAAAGTATCAGTTCTGTTACACATCCTGTCCAGATGGACGTGCGCACAGTTTGAACCCTCTTTTTTTGTCTACACACGAGATTCTGTTGAGACACAGAACATTTTGATCTGATACAGATGTACAAGTAAACTGATCAACGTGATGCATGTAAAGCATGCAGATGCATGGAAGTTTACTGGTTTTACTGTCTTAGCTTAAATTTTAAAAAAAAGTATTCAATCCTTCTGGACCCAGAATAATACAGTTCTTGCAAACATTAATGTAAAACCAGATCAGAATAAAGATTTTCACAATAATACCTCAAATACACATTCTGATGATCATTTCCTTCAAAGGAATGACTGAATCATAACTAGAACCAATGATGATTAAAAGAAAAGAAAAACATCTAAGTATCACTTGGGTCTAGTTGAACAATGCAGGACTCTGACATTAATGTTAGCTTTGGGGGAATGAAAACTTGTGCAAACCAACTATAGATGCATTCAGAACTGATTCTTGCACCACATTCAGAGGAAGGCAGAATCTCTAATCTGACACAATCTAAACATAAAAATGTCAGAGGCCAAGCGGGGATACTACCCTCTACAGCCAGACTGCTGTAAGGTGAAAAACTGCATTGGACTGAGTCCAGCAAAACATTCTTCTTAGACAAAATTTTGCTTAAAATTGCTGAGATCTGGTTAAAATTATGTGATTTGAAGCCAACGACTGTGTTCACAAACTGAGATGCACCTAAGTGGATTTTATCGCCAAATCTGGAGCAAAGCACCGTATGCTTTCCACTTGTAACTGTGTGACCTAACACACATTAAAACATGTTTGTTTTAAACATGAGGCTGTATTTTTTATATATATAGATTTACCTTTCTCTGTTGCCTGTAGGTCCAATCAGAGCTTGTTGACTGATAAGGCGACATAAGTGTTGTCTACACCTGTAACAGAAAACATGCATTACTCTGGATACATCTACAAATAAATATAGTCTTGAAGGCTCATGACAGAAAAAAGGAACCCACAGGTTCTGGTCTCTCGTTCCAGTTCAGAGGGTTTCTTCTCCTTGTTGCAGACCACCTTAGCCACAGTTAAAATAATGATGATGGCTACAACAAATGTCACTCCAGACACAAGCCAGCTGATCACCATGGGGCTCAGGATTGGGTCAGAATCTGAAAGTAGAGGAGGTTGTAGGTTTTACTCCGAATGGGTTGATCACTGAGATAACAGTCAATACATTCTCACCTCTGATGGCTATAGGCAGGGGCTGGCTTTCTCTGGAGACGAACGTGCGCCCGCCCAGCTGGACCCGATACATGCAGTAATAGTATCCCTCATTGGCACTCTGGGCGTCAGAGAAAGTGAAAGTAACATAGTGGGAGGGTGCGGGTAATGACTGCCGCACTGTGCCGTTGGAGCGGACGAGACGAAGCTGGAAGGAACCTCCAGGATACTGCTGCAAGGTGGAGCAGGTGATGTTAAAACCCTGCCCTTTGATGACGGAGGCCACCGGAGCCTCGGGGGACGTGTTGTACCAGAGCTGGGGAGTCAAGAGGTCCACTGGAATTCAAGGTTGTGCATAAAAAGATGGAAAGATGAATACTAAAGAAAAAAAGCACCGATTTAAAACCATATAGGAATTTTGAATATAACACAAACTAACACTGGTAACGACTCACCCACTGTGATGTTGATGGTGTTGCTGGGTGAAGAGCTGACCTGCTGAGGAGGGTATCCGCGTGTGACGCTGTACTGACAGCTGTAGCTGCCCTGGTAAAACGTTTCCACATCAGACAAGGTAAGATCCACTCCCATCTGAGTCGGGTCAGCTCTCTGTGTGACCAGAGGCGTGGCAATTCCGTGCTTGTACAGGTGGACGTTGCTGATGCGGTTAAGCTGCATGATGCTGCTGCAGTGAAAGTGAACAGACTCCCCAGAAGAGAAGACCGACTGAGGAGACAGCAACGCAAGCCGGGGTTCAAACAGAGTCCCTGAGAGGAAAGAAGGGTCAGTCCTGACGTGATCAAATTGTAGCTGGTGCTACTTCTATGAAACTCAGAAACTATGATGAATTAATATTCTTGGTTGTTAAGAAAATACATTATAGTTTCAACTACATACAAGAGGTGTGGTGAATTATACTGAAGGATACTTAAGGTGCTTACATTTTTTTTAGCAAGAAATGAGAACATTTTGGACTTTTTAATTAAAGAAACCAGTGAGAAAAAAAACAACTTTTCAGATATTTGTGTTTGCCAAACTATTCACACACCTACTCATCTCTGCCTCAACAGAGCATGGTCCCACCTGTGCATTTCACGCCTACATCGTTCTTATGGGTGCAGAAGGAGTTCTTGTTCGGGGAGAGATTGCAGTGAACCAGACTGGATTCATGTCCATGGCACTTGACAGAGTTCACCACTATCCTTCCGCTGCCTAGGCCAAATTCAGCACCGTGAGAGAATTCAGCAAGCCCACAACCCAACTCCAAACACACCACATTAGCCGCCCGCATATCCCATCCATGGTCGCAGACAGTCCCCCACTGCCCGTGGAAGTTTACTTCGACGATCCCGGAACAGTGATCTCCATTCACGACTCGGATCGTACCTAAACCAGAAGTAGCTACTCCATCCCACAGAGCACCCAACAGGCCTGTGATGAGAAGAAAGGAACAATAATTACAGGTTCAAACCAACCAATAATCGTAACCATTTACGCCTTTTAAGAACTTCAACACTCTTCATGAGTACATAAGAGGTTACAAGTTTAATTCAAACCAGGTTCGTACTAAAAATGTTTACGTAATCCTTTTTTTTTTTTAACATACGAGACAAATGGTTCAGATCTGGGGCAAACCAATGGTTCAATTTATGGTCACCAACCACTGTTTACACACTTCATGCACAATATGCTAATAAAGTTTGTAGATGTACTCTTTAAAAGCCATAATAACTGTCAAAAATACCAATTTTTTTTTATCTTTTTGTCTGCCTATAGCAACTGTATAAAAAATGCACTAAATTTATATCATTCACTATCAGAAGTCACCACACAATTTGTAATAAATTAGTGAAATTAGCAAAGTCATGTTTTGTTGCCAAAAATGACTTTTAACATCTAAAATTGACAAATACACTTCAGACAGTCTTGTCAAGTTACAAATATGGAGTCAATAAAACAATCCCCGGATGTAAAATGTCAGAGGGAGAACAGTGGAATCAAAGACGCTGGGTCAGAAGCTAAAAATAAAGCCGTCATGACGACAGATGACAGAAGTAAAGTCATTTTGAGGAGGAGCTGGAGTGGCGCAGAGCGTTAAAGCAAAAGTTGCTAAAATGCAAATGAGCTGTGTTCGGATATTCTGAACTCTTACAGAGGAACTTCCACAACTTATCACAGAATTCACTATTTATATTTATATTCATATTCAAAATAAAGATGAGGATAATTTGTCGTTTACTAATGCAATTTTTGCAAAAACCCTTAAGTTACAACTTAAAAACCCTGAGTTACATCAACCCACAAACAATTATTTACTTAATATGGAAATTGTGTTAGAAGCATAAAAATTTAAATCATTGAAAAATTGCATATTTTGACAGCTATTATAGCCGTTTTATTTTATACATTTTTTTGTTGTTGTTACTTCCATAAAACGACCAGGCTGTGGTAACGCAGGGGTTGATATTGTTGCCACAATATTTTTTACAATATATTTCTTTTCATACTGCTTGTAGCAGATTCAGCTCTGCTCAAAGCCAACTTACTGTCAAAGTGAGGCAGAAAGTCTGGTCTGTTGGCATTTCTAACCAAATGAGTTTTGTTTAAATCTGCAAAGTAAAAAATGTTCAGATGTTTTGAGTACTATACCAAACAAAAGATTTGGAAAGGTTGTCTAATATTTGTTGTCCTTAAGGGGCACGAGACAATAACACGGCACCAAACATGTCAATTTAAAGCTGATAAATAATGACACCTTTTGAATAGCGTCCTTGTACAGCGTACAGTCTCATATTATACTGCACATTTGTGGTATACTTATAATAACAAATACCATTCCACAATGGGACCTGTGTAAACCACGTTTGTATTAAATAATATTCCCACTTTTACATGCTTTACTGAAAAAAATTAAGGCTTCAATGCAATCAATTAATAAAAAAAGTGATCATAATGGCTTTAAAGCACTGACACAAGTGTTTTCACTCATTTTCACTTTAGTTTTTATAAATTATAGGAACTAATCTCTTAATTTAGATTTATTCTTTATTTATTCATTTCTAACCAATACAGTTCATTGAATCAGAAGATGTACTTTGAGATATTTTGTTCTTTATTTAGATTTATTGTGTTGAAAAGCTTTAAAAACCTCCTAATCATCTGAAGATTAATATAACGTGCACTAAAAAGTTCAAAAGTTTAGAAAATAAAATTGTATGTACATATTTTATATTCTCGAGTTTGATGGTTATCACGTAGCATAATGCTCCTATGCAGAGCTAAATGTTTTTAGCTTACCTGCTAGATAGATATGGAGGAATCTCAGCATTGTTCCGTCAGCCTTCCATCAGAGGGCCGGATGTGAAGAGAGCCTGTAGTCTTGGTGATGATGGCGCTGATCGATGCTGAAAAACATCCGATTTAACTGATCTAAACCACACCGACGGCTAACGGAGCTAACAGCTAACCAACGGTAATCGATACTTCGCACGCGGGGCGTAACGGAGTAAACACGCAGTCGAAGCTACAAATTGTTTTTTAATAACTGCGTTTAAATAAAATTGAGTTGTTTTTTGTTGTTCTTGTTAAATTCGAGTGGCTGGACACTGGACTGGAGTTACCTACTCTACATATCTTCGTCCGAACGTCAGTAGTCTCTTCCCGGAGTTCTGATGAGCCCAGTGCTTCTCCCCGCTGCAGACAGAGGTCACCACAGGCCGCACTTAAAGCTCCGCCCACTGTTTCCGGAGGCTCGGCACGCAGGGGGCGTGGCTACAGGGATAATTTTTCATTGTGCGTTCCTGCATTTAAATTAAACATATAAAACATATAAAAATATTATTAATTATTAATAATTAGTGCATGTAAAAGAAAAACATAAAAACCATTGTTTTATGGTATCTCATAAATAAACAATATATGCTTGGGTGCATGAAAAGTGTATTTGATGTAAATTAAACAATCAATTTTTGTCAGCTTTATTAAAATTGGCCTCATTTTAGGAATGCGTACATTTCTGAACAGTTTTTTCTACCTGTCTTGTGTTAATCTGAACTAAATGATAAAAATTATACAAACTTTTTTTCGGCTGCTCTCGGCTTCAGGGGTCACCACAGCGAACTAACTCGCACGAAGACTTGGCAATTGTTTTGTTTTTTATGCTGGATGCCCTTCCTGACGGCTGATGCAACCACAGACCACAGATCTACCACAGCCCTCTGTGTGGAGCAGAGAGCTGCCATAGGAAGCTCGGGGAAGCAGATGGTAGGGGTTAAGGGCCTTGCTCAAGGGCCCAGAGTGGGGCAAATGTGGGTGCTTCACCTTTCCCACCCACATTTTGATGTTGTCTGTACGGGGAGTCAAACCTGCGACCTTCCGATCACAGGCCCACCTTCTCTAATCTCTGCGCCACTACTCCCTAATGATACTACCCCCCACAATAAACAGAGCCTTCAGGATTTATTCAGTATCTTCTTAAAACACGTTTTTTTTATACTTCTGTAGCTACATTTTTACCACCAGCCACAATTTTTATTATTATTTATAAATAAATTAAAACCTGGAATTCCTGAAGGATGATTTCCAATGCATATTTTATCTTAAAGCATAATCGTGCATAACCTGTTAGTGCTCAGAATACGTGTTGGGAATCATTCTGACTTACAAACACACCAAACTTCAGTATCAGGTTCAGTGTGGCATGTGGAATCATGTCGACTATTGACGTACATCCAAAGATTACTTTCTACAGCCATTATTAAAAGCAGTTCATTGTCATTACAAACCCTCAGTGGTGGGTTTAAAGCTAGCCTCCTGTTGAATTCCCAGAAACTGACTTTACACATGCAAAAAAGGAACAATTCGTCCAAAATGAGGACTACTTATAAGACAGATCTGGGTTGGCAGACCTCAGATGGATGAAGTATTTCGGAAGAAAGATAAAACATTTCTCCCAAAAGAAACTGTCCAGATGACCTGAGTTAACCTTTTTTGTATTTTTCTACCCGGATGACTGAGCTCACGAACGTCTGGACCTGCCATGCTGTTCGTTTCTCCTTCCTGTTCTCTCAAACTCCATCTGGCCAAAGCAAATGGCCACTCATCCTGAGCCTGTTCTGCTGGAGGCTTCTTCCTGTTTAAATGGAGTTTTTCCTTTCCACTGTTGCCAATGCGCTTGCTCAGGATGGGAGACCGCAACGAAGTGAAGATTCAACAATCTGCTGGCTTCCTTGGACAGATAACTTTAACGAACTGGCTTTTATAATGTACGTGAATGTTTTCGTACATTGTCCTGAGACGACTTCTGCAGTGACTCGGCACTACAGTATTTAAATAAACTGGATTGACTGTTTTAATTTTAGGAACAGGCTTGCATCCCATACTCATGTTGGTCCTAACCAGTTACAGAACAATGTGTTTGAATCAACCAAAAACAGCAGGAAAAGGATCATTTGCTGATTCATGTCCGAGTCATGAGGTTTCACACACCTAGTGACTAATGCTGAGAAACAGACGGAGGCATTTTTCCATTTCCCATTAGTGTCCTGCCTTACACAACTAACCACATAAATGGAGCTGAAGAGCACCGTCAGACCAAGTGTTTGTTATTCAGGCTGTTTGCTCCCTCCACAACAACCTTGATCAGTTTCACAATGAGCTGGAAACACATTTACAAGTCTAAACACAGGAAGGTTTTTCTGATATAACACCAGGGTTGACAAAAGATATAAATACTGGCTTGTAGTTGGTGAAATAACCTTGATAGACCTTAGTGGCTTGGAGTTTACTAACTTCACCAAGCAGTAGAAGCAGGTTTTTTGAAGATTTTTTTTTTAAATTGAAGAAAATACATAAATTAGAATTCTCCACAGAAATGCAGTAAATGCTGAATGACTTTCCTGAAGAAGCTGAAACAGAAATGTTAAAAACTAAAGCTAAAAGAACAGTAGCTAAAATAAAAAGCAGATACCAAAATCTACAAGGAACTGTAGGTAATAGTTAAACGAATCTTAAATGTAAAAAGGTTTATAAAAAATAAAAAAAAGTCATAGGACAAAACATGCAGAAGTACTTGGAGCTGCCTCCAAAAATGTAAAATAAGCTAAACGAGAAAGCAATATCCTGGTTGACATGACCACAGAATATGTTTGAAGACGGAATTAAAGTGCGCTAAAAGCAGGTTGTTGCAGATAAATCCAAAAATATGCTAAATGAGACGTTTCCCAACATCCCTTAAATGTATCGTCAGACAAATCTATATTTACCTTTTAAGTCTTTGAAATAACTCATCGAAGCTTTTTCACTGCGCTCGTCAAACAATAAAGACCAACAGAACATGATGACTTTATTAACTCGTGTTTTGATATATTTCGTTGAGCCAGTGGTCGTCAGCATTCAGTTCCTCGTTTGCAAAAGTTGAACACCCTCAAAGAAAAAAATAAAACATAAGTCTGTAGATTTGTATATTTATGGAAAAATACAATAAATCTCAGAACTTAAAAATATACAACGTGTAAAGGTAGCCTGTGTCCAAACAAAACAAAGAACAGCATCGTTAGAACGTCTTTACAGTGATATCCCTTCTTTAAATACACGAGTCAGTCTGTCTGTCCATGTGTTATGGTACAATAACAAAAACAAAACATATTACTTTACAAAAAAAAGCAAACAAAAATAATTTAGTTAACTTAAAATTAGTCTTCAACAAAGATGACCTTCCCCCCCACCAACAGGTTTGGAGTTGTAATAAGTACCACGACTTCTTGTGTTGTCTCGATAAACTCCCAACAAGCTTTAAATTAAATAATGTGTCTATAGCTCTTTGGACAAACGGTACAAGCAGCTACAGTTTCATCAGAACAGTCCGTGTTGCACTTGTTTGTGCTACGTTTTCATAAGTCTTTTTGCCCAGCGTGTCTCGGCTTTTGTGCGACCTCTGTTGTTTAACAGGAAAGTCCCGACTTTCAGACGTGCCGTCCCTTGGAATCTCCCAGCAGATGGACAATGAGTTCGTACGTGGAGAGAACGATGGCCGTGTTGGGGATTTGTCTGAATAGCTGTGGAATGAGTCCTCTGTAAAACGCTGCATAACCTTCCTCCACCCAAATTAACCTCCCGGTCTGGAAGAAATATTTATACTTGCTGCCTTCTTCACGCAGCCTTGTCCGAATGACCTCTGCAGAGAAAAAGGTTTAAACAGTAAAGACTTTAGATACTTAATTCTCTGACATCGTGTTTTAAGCGCAGGCGCGTGTTGTTTACCGTGTGGGTAGGCTATGCAGGAAGCACAACCCTTAGAAAAAGCCGCTGCCATCATCAGGCCCAGGAAGTCTGACACTCCTTTCTCCTTTTCACCGTTTGGGGAGGTGAACTGGTTCTTGGCGAGGTGTTTCTTCAGCGTCTCGTAGATGAGGAAGCAGATCATGGTCTCCGAGATGCCGGCGTACGACGCAGTCAGGCCGCGATAGAAGCCGCGGATTCCCTCCATTCTGTAAACGTAGCGCGCACACTGAAGTGCATTCATCTTCTTCTCTCCTTTGCCTCTGAAAGTCAAACACATATGACTTATTAGTGATAAAAGTCAAAAAAAGTGTTGAAGATTAACTATTTAATCAGTCCTAAACATTAAAAGACAGACTGAGCTACCACATTTAACAGTTCTTGTTGAGAACATTTCAAGGAAAACAAGCTACAGTGCAAGTGAAATGATTTTAAAGGTGGGTGGGTGTGTTCAAGCATTTATTACTTTGTGAATGACTGAAACTTTTCATGAATGTAATCATTGTGCAGTTAAACTCGTCCGTTGAAGACTGTTTTTGGAGGTATGAAAAACATTCATGTTACTCTGCTTGTTGTTAGGTGTCATTTCTAAAACTGAGACCGATTTAGGATCATATGCAATTATCATCATGACAAATTTGCTTGGTTGCAAATGTCTGAGCCGCGCACAGTCAGCTGAAGAGAGACCAAGCAGGAAGAAGATAAATTTGGTGCGATGACATTTATGTCACAAAAGTTTTGCAACTTTATGGACTCAAAAACAAGAAGTTCTTGTTAAATAATTAGTCATTTTTCAACTCTATAAGGAAGCATTAATGATTTCAAGTTTCCCTCACTGTGAGAAATAATTAACTCTGTTTACTAGTCTTTTGTTTGCCACCAAGTCTTGCAGCATTGTAGGACAATGATGCAACAGTCGAAAGAAAAACATTTCCCTAGTAGGACATAAGGAAATTTCTACTGATACTGACTGAAAGAGCTCAACCCTCGTCTCTTGTTGTTCAGAGAGCAGCCAGCTTGTGCTTCAGGACAGTGAAGGTTTCTGTGACTTCACATGATACGGCTGCTCTGTACCTGCTAATGTAAATATAATCTTCAGCACGAAGGACAGTGCGTCAGCACCGCGTATTTATAAAGGGATGTCACATGCTCAGCCTCATGCACGGCAGACTGGTGACACAGTACAAAAAGTGTACACCCCCTCCCTCCCACCCCCTAAAAAGGTTCATGCTGAAGGTCAATTATACTTTGCAACCTGCCAACAACCTAAAATAAGTCGGACTGTTTTACACAGATTGTTAACAGAACATGTGTCTAAACGATTATGTAAGAAAAAAAGGAAACACGAGAGATATTAAGACTTTAGCACGTACTTTTTCTCCAGCTGCATCCTAGTCTTGACCATCCAGACTGGGTTCATCAGAGAATTGGTAACAAAAGCTGAGGGGGGAAAAAACTTTTATACTTAGAACATCGTGAAACTGTTCATGCAGGATGTTCATGTTAGGAGCATTGCATAAACACATGAAAATTAAAGGCCTAACGTTCTCTTAAAGGAATGTGTTTTTTTGCTCACACTTCATATCAAAGCAGGAGTCGACACACCAGTAAATGGTTTTCGTTTATCTGAGACAACAACCTATTTTCCTCGACAACCAGAGCTTGCTTTGAGGTTGTCCGTTGGACAACCAAGTGAAACAGACATGGATTAAAGTTTTCTGTTGCCGCAACGGATTTCTGTCATCTTTAAAAATGCCGGGGGTGGGGGGGGGGGGGGGGGTGTTTTTTGTTGTGGTCTTTTTAAAGCCATCCAATCTAATGATGACAAAGGGATTAAACTGACAATTCTTTCAACAAATAAAGAGAAGCAGAGCCACAGTTTAACCCGATCAGAGCAGGGTGGGTCATCCTGTCTGATACACGGCAGGTGTGCACAGTGTTCCCAACAGGTGAGAGCACCAACCAGTGTTTCCTGGACTATTTTCCAAAGAGGACACCCCGCTACCCTAACTGAAGATGATGACGTGTAATAACTCACTACATGTCTACGTATTAAACATATGTGCTCGCATGTGACCAATTCACTGCAGTCATCATACAGGCGTGTGCAACTTGCACCTGTGACTAAACTCCAAGTCTGAGACAGAGTGCCGTTGCAGGAGTGCACTCAGCCTGTGTCTCTCATTGTGAGAGGAATCTGTGTCTGATGCTTTTGTTCTTCTAATTAAACAACATTAATGATAAAAGACAAATATTTATATGCCCCAGATTACAACAAAGATGCATGTCTCCATTTAACTTTTTTTTTTTACCTTAAACTCACAAAGTTCTTCCAAATTGTCTGCTGGACAACATGGAAAATGTCCTTATGTCTACCCCTAAGTTTAGGACTGAGGTCACGTGCAATATTGCGAAATGGCACACACAAAATATCTGTTGTGAATGCCTCTCAGCTACAACCGTGCTAAATGTTATCACAATATCTGTAAAATTGGCTGAGTTGTATTGTGTATCTTAATGGCAGTTAGCTGTGGCAGCCATCTTGAACTGGACTGATTACAAAAGGGAATCGGTTGTAGAAGTACTTCCACTTTGTTGTAGATGTACTTTCTGAAAATTTCATTAAAATTTGCCCAGTGGTGCATGAGATGGTATGATAAATGCACAAACACACAGGCAAAAATATTACTGTACACCTGGTGGGTGATAAAAATGCAAGAAACTGCTCACCTGCAACACCAGCTGAAGACATGTGCACCAGTCCACTGTTGGGGACAAACAGCCCATTGAACATGTCTTTAGACTTCGAGTAGGCAGCGAAGTAAATGGCTCTGAAACACAGAAACATTTATGAGAACTGGATGCAGCTTCAGGTGTTTCACATAAATAAATAAAAATTAAGGAGTGCATTTTCACAATGTAAATCTGCCTTTAATAACTGTGCAATTGTGTAACGGATCAGTCTGGGTTGATAGGAGCCTTTGACAGCAGTCGTCTAGTGCACTCTGCTCCTCTGTGACAATTTTCCTAGTTTGGCTTCTGGAACAGACGGTCAGCGCAGCAGAAAAAGCTGAATAAGCACCGGGCACAGGAAAAACCCAGAGAGCTTGTTTTAACGCCAACCTGTCTAAAGGCTGACCAATAGGATGGTGGGGCAAGTGATAAAGCTGTGGCTACTATTCAACCACAAATTTTTTTATTAGTAACCTTTTGCCACATGTATCCACATTATTTGTTTCTATTCAATTTATATATTGCTTTGTTGAGAGTTTACATGCTACATAATCAGCTATGAGGAAACAGGGCAAAGTGCTGTTTGCACTAAAAATAGAATAAAGGTGAAATTGAAACCTATACAAGACTGAACTTTTGCACTCAATGTTTTAACATTATCTAACCATCCTCAGGACTAAATTAGTTGTTCTTTGTGGCACAAACATTCATCTCTGATGCTTTATAAAGTAACAAATTACACAGTCCTACCATGCTGACAGCTCATTCAAAACTTTGTACCGAGATATGCGTCATTGTCTTCACAGTCACTTCTTGTTTATAGAGCAGAGTAATGTTTCCAGCTATTTAAAAATATATATTATTTTTGTCTCACAGCTTCAGAGTAATAGATCCTAGTCAAAAAAAAAAAAAAAAAAGGAAAATGTGTTAATAAAATATAAACAATTATTTTTCTATACCTTGACGGGGCAACACCAACAAGATTTGGCCCCAGTCCACGAAAGAGAGAACTAGGACCCTCTTTTTCAAGAATTGATCTGAAAAAAAAAAAAAAGCATCCACCATTAAACAGTGAAATACTTATCCAACTGTTAAGAAGATACAATATGATTTATTTATATTTGTTTGGAACATCATATCAATGACTTTCAGGAGGCAGATATTTGCTGCAACCCTCCCCAGAGTTACATCAGCTCAGTTCACTGGATTCTGGACTGAACTTAGTGCCCTGATTAATGTTTGGCATGTCACGCCAGCCACATCCCCCAAAGAAGAGTGGAGGGTTTTAACTCTTAGTGGGAAGCGACCCTCACTTGCAACACCATTGTCTGCTTTGGCAGGAACTTTGCAGAGGGAGGGGTAAGACTGGAGTTGGTTCCACTGGTCAAGCAGGGTTCATGGACTCCACTCCTCTCTGTCACAAGTCAAGCCACCTCTTCTCAAACAATGACAAGCTTGACGAACGCAATGACCTTTTCCGTGCTCAAGTTATGACCAGTCTGCAGGCATAGAAAATAAAACTTTCCTACCCTGAAAATTTCTTTGTACATTTGAAGCAGCTAAGCTAAATTATACAAAAACAAGGCACGAGACCTGAAATTGGACAAATATTGTTTATAGTTCTGCAGCGTCAAAAGCTCGTGTTTTATAATTTCACTGCAGCTGCTGACACCGGTCCAGACCAGTTCAGTTTGTGAGTCTTGTGATCCGAGTGTAACATGACACTGACAGCACCGTAGTTAAGTCCTTTCCTCCTTCTCTTTCAGCCATGCAGAACTGTTTCTACTCCTTATCAAGCAATCTTAGCAACCATCTTAAGGGACGTCCTGATGCATGCTCAAGGGACTGGTTTTAGGAACATCACAGTGATGTGTTTGAGTCAAATTTAGAAAGTGGTGGGAAAAAAAAAAGATGACTTGTGTCAGCACAAACAGCTGGTTGAGAGCACTAAATATGAGCAGGACACTGTGCACTTAATCCTCACTTTATGCAAGACCAGATTGAGTCCTTGATTTGGGGAGAATGAAAACAGAGAGCAACATAAAGTATTTGCAAGAACCAAATTCAATAATTTAGCAGGATTTTAAAAACAGTTGCAACAACGTAGGCCTATTCTTTTGTCATACTGTAATGACAGCATAGGTAGGATGCTAATGCAAACTGCACAAGTTGTTTGCAAACAACATTATTCCTTATTCGTCAGTGCAGATAAACATCAGAATGCAGCAGCTGTCAGGAAGGAACACTTTGTCCCACTGTTTTCAGGGAGAAAAGTATGTCTCGGAGGAAAGCCCATACATACAGCACACTTTGCTCAACAACAACTCAGAGAATCGTCTCACCGAAGGACCTGTAGCAGCCCAGGTGTAACCGTCGCAGGTCGGATAACCCCGGTGCCATTCAGGGTGCCCAGATGGACCTGGAAGACAGGCCGCAGGGTGAGGCCTGAGGACTGCAACCTGGTCTTCAACACTTCCAGCGGGCAGGTCGCAATGGCTCCCACTGTACCACTGCATCTGTAATTTGAACACACAAACAGAAAGATTATGAGGACTGGGGTATTTAAAATCTGAGTTAGTCATTGAAGCTTTGACTGAAGAATGTGTTTTTCCATCAACACAGTTTTAAGAGCTACAGATAAAGATTAGTGAACAGTTGTGGTCAAAGATGTGTTCCTTGCTCTGCAGTGGGAAAACATTAACTGAACCCAACACGACTGCTTCTCCAGCTCAGACATTCTAGTTGCACATGGAAATGGCTTTGTGCCTGAGAAGTGTTTTAAAAGAGAACTCTCAAAATTTACATAGAAACTCTGCAATTAGTTCATAAAACTCTCAAATATGTTGCACACAAAAACAAACTCGACAAGTCTAAAGTCATCACTAAAGAACAACGTGAAACATCAACTAACACAAAACCAAAATATTTAAATTGTGGAAAATACTCAGAAAAAGATACTATACTTATTAGATTTTACTAAAAAAACATGCAAACATAGCTATGCTGATAACGTGGTGATAAGTTATCGATGTAAACACTGGCCATACAGATGCCACAACTACATTTTGGTTAAAAGTTAATATTCGGAGATAAAATAGAAGAATTTTTGACAACGTCAATTGTTTCTCTGCTTCAAGGTTGTATTAAGACTAACCATTCTTCCAACTGAATGTCTGGACTGAAAATATGTCTCCTCCTCAGACTAGTTATCCTGTGTCCTTCAAGAACAGACAAAGCTGTCTGATCCTTATCCATTCTTAAAATTTACATTCAAGCGTTAGTCTTCTAATATGATCTCTGGGAACAGTTCCGCTAACAGCAGAACTAGTTATTCGGTTAGAGGATTAGTGTTTTCACTAACTTTAGAAACCGGTAGTGGAATTAATTCGCCTGTAAACGAGTCCTCGTGACTCACTGAGACTAACCTGTATAATTAAAGGTTGAATGAAAAAGCTTTCGCTAAATTAGGTTTCGCCAGTGTTAAGTTTGCTAACAAAATTCACAAGCTTGTTTTTACCGTTTAGTCATTAAGTGTTAGAAAAGATAACTTTTTGTATGCTGTGCCCACCACTGTATCTCTGTATGATAGTAACTGTACAGAATGACACATTTGTACAACATACAATAAAAAGTCACAATTGTGTGTGTGTATATTGAAAGTCCATGCACGTACAAAATAAATTGCATCCTATAAAGTAGTGGACAGTATACAAGTAGTGGACAGAAAGTCTGGTTTCGTTAAAATTAGTGTTAGGAAATCTGCGGTTCCCATAACATTTGAAGGGTAAGTGACGCAACATGTTATAAACCGAAACTGTAATAATTGTAGTTTTAGTGATAAAATACAATAATGAATCCTCGGTTTTATTATGGATCACCAGGAGTATATAAATAATACACTTTGGTATGGTGTTGAGTTGCTGGTATCAGCAGTAACGGTACGTGACTGTACAGGGTTACATAACGGTGAAGGGCATCCACATGCTAACAGCTAACTGCACCCATCAGGGCTACAGTGATGGGCATAGGCAAAGCCTAATATCATTTTTGAACCATGATACGCGTCATTTAAATTAAAAAACACGTATTAAATAAGACATAACGCAGTCACTCCCAACAAGGAATCAACCAGCATTATCGCTACAAGACGCGGCGTTAGCCAGCTAGCTAGCTGCAGCAGCGATGGAGGATTAGCGAACTTCCGCGTGGTTAATCGGGTAAGAAGCCGGCCGGTTTCTGTTCAACACCACCTGACCCAGGTCGGAAATTTAAATTATATATAATTAATGGGACATAAACGTTGCTTTTTTTGTCCCGCTTATTTATTTCAAACACTAGTAGTCAGTCTGACACTAGTAAAAGAAATGTGTTTAAGCGGTCGGAAGCTCGTGCTGTGCTAACGAGAGCCAACATTTACAATTCGGTCTGGAGGATCAAAAATTGGAATTAGCTCAGCGAATGAAAGTTTTTAAAATAGCTGTTTAGAAAAGGTAACACGCCGCTTACATTAGATTTTTGTTTCCACCTTAAACTAGCCATTTAACGTTGTATGCATCTTTTAAAAAATCAGTGACTTACCCCCCGGCGAAGAGATGCAGCAGCGTGTCTTTTTGTGACATTTTAGTTTTCCTTTTTTATTTTTTAAACAGCCACCATGGTCTTACTAGCTTTGTGTTAAAACCGCGTTCAGTCAAAAGTAAAAGCTCTACAGCCTGGGTGACCTGAAGCTCATTTCCCTTCCAAGTACCAGCCGGCGCGGCGGTGCTTCGCTCTGCCTATCAACTACGAGCAGAGCGACGAGGTGACAAAAGAGCGTAACGTCTTTACGTAAGAGGGACGGACGGGGGTGTAGTCCGTGACGTAAGCACGTGCGTTACGACACCTTGGCATTTTGCGGCGCGTTGCACAATGAGTCTACACCGCAACATAATCAAAAAACAACCGAAGACTTTGAACTGTTAACTTTCACCGGTTTAGGGACAAATTAAGAATCCGGAGCTCTGAATAACACACTGAATTAACACAATGTTTTAACAACATTATTTATTTTTAATGTTTTATTAATCAGAGTCCTTACGTTCAATGAAATAAAAGATGCAGGAACAACATGACAGTTTGCAAATTTTGTAATTCGTTGTGAATTGATCAACAAATCTCGTAGCTTGCTGTTTATGTGCGCAATTTGAATTTGGTGCCAGCAAGACATTTAAAAAAATGTTACAAGGTTAGAACAAGTTATGTACAAGATATCTTACACATAACACAGCACAAAAAGTAATGCTATTTGTGTTTGGTTGATTATTTACTTGTTGTAACATGTTGCTTCTTTGCAATTAAGTTGTCACATTTGTTGAGAAAATGTATGTGGGGGTCAAGCAGCAGAGTTGAGAATGTGGGTTGCAAACATGAAAACCTTGCCAGGATTTTCTCATCACCACTGAACACCCGTGGGACCAGCTTAGGCGTGCTGTTCCTTCCAGAGTGATGAACACAACCACACTGGCCGACCTCCGACAGATGCTGGATGAAGAACGGGACGCCATCTCACAGTGCGTGACTAAGCTGGTGAGCAGCATGAGGAGAGAGTAGAGGAACCAGGCTGTGTATGGTTCTTCCACATGCTACTTACGCCTCTGTTTATCACTTTAATAAACTGTTAAGTTGCCAGCGTGCCAACAATTCCCACATCTTGTTTTACAGACTAGTTAAATCAACCAACAAACAACAACAAATAAAAGAATGAGCTGTTTTGCACTGGCAGAGTTTCTCAAAGATATAACCTGCATTTCCAACTCTGCCACTCAACCCACAAATGTATTTTTCTCACAAATATAGCACCACTTCAGGGGAGGGAAACAGGTTTTCCAAGGGCAAAAGATTTATTGCCAAGAAGCAAAGCTGCAGCAAAGAAATAATCAACCAAATACAAATTTCCATATTGTTTTAAGTTTACAAACGTGCACCATCAAGGCCCTTCTTTGCTTTATCCCACATCATGCTGCATTTATTATTTGGTATTTGAGTTTATATTTTACTTGTCAAAATGAGTACTATGGGCATTTACAGCCATGTAACGGTCTTCTTTGATGTATGGATAATAATACTGCAGGGGCAGTCACACGCATGCAGAGTACACGCTGAACTGTGTGCTTATCTCTTTCCCTTTATTACCTCATGTTGACATATCAGCTTGTAGAGGACTTCCATTAAACTGTTTGTCTACCTGGAATTAGTTTGGGAATAAGATGAAAAGCAAAAAAAAAATTTAAAAATAAAAACAGCTTTGCTTTTTTATGACTGGAAAGTTACAAATTAACAGACTACAGTTGTAAATGGAAACAAACAACTTCCAACTACTGTCTGTTATCACAGACATAAACCTTTTTAATCAGGCAGCTTCCCATGCACAGGTTACAGCTAAATCTACAGGTAATCAAGCAGCACATTCACCTTGATAACACATTGTTTGTCAATGGAAACTGAGTCATTACGACAGAAACAACCTTTTCAAAATGATGCACTTGCGTTTTGCTTAGTTTAAAATTGTATAGTGATTCCTGCTGTAGTGACATGACACAACTAACCCTGGAAATGAGCTTGTTTTGTGTCAACTTCAGAATTGTGTTTATTTTTATTTGTGTTTATTATTTTGACAGAGCCAGCAATCGGGTCCCATTTTGCGTAACAAGCATTCAGTGTCGTTTTCTTCAGCCATGCCAACACGACCGATCTAATTTAAGCTTGCGTAAATGATCCAACCTGTAAAATGATGAACCACTCCTCTTCTTTAGTTTGACATTGCCAGCTCGTGTCTCTGATGCGCTACATTTTAGAGGAATGTTCTTGCGCCACTAAATACTGTATACAACCACGGGGAGAAAAGTACACCCTTTTTCAGTTCTCGATTCCAGCATGTTCTTATTTATTAAGCCGAAATAAAGACAAAATGGTAAAATAGTGTGTGTAAAAAAAACAAACTACATTTTATATGTATTTCCTTTTTCAGCTGTTTTGTTGTGGATGTGCTGCTGTGTTTGGGGTCATTGCCCTGTTACCTGATCCAGCCTGTTTCCTGACACCCATTTCAAGCAGCTTCCTTCAGCTTTTTTATGGTCTTCTCACAAACTTTTACGTTAATAAAGTAGAAGTTGAGTCAAAGCTCTTGTTCCTTTTTTTTCTAATTTCTCTGAGCATTGTAAGGTCTGACCTTGGGGTGAGATCTTCTCCTGGAGCGACTGGCAGCCGTCTTAAATATTTTTGACTTGTGAGAAATCTTTATCGAATGATGAACTTCTCATTTTTTTAGAAATGACCTTTAACCTGCAGATTGATAAACAACAGCTGCTTCCCTATAGGGGCATTGCTGATGTCTTTCCTTCTTGGCATTGTACTATTACCTGTGTGCTCGGGAGCAGCAAACTGTCAAAACATCCTGCGCTCACTGAAGTGCTCACACTGATGATGATCAGATTGGCAGCTTCGGCTGCTATTTCTCCTCTTAAATGGCAGCATTAAGTTTTCAACAGTGTTTCCATTTTTGGTTTGGTTTTTGTTTAATAAGTAATGACACGATGGAATTTACTGTACAATTTGATAAACAAATTAGATTTGAACAAATTTAGAATCTGGTAAAGACCAGGTCATCATTAGTATGCCCTAAATATGTAAAACTCTAGAACGGAAAGAGGATGCACTTTATTTTTTCCAGGAGATGATAAAAGATGAGCAGTTTAATCAAAGCAATACATCACCAACTCATGTTTCAGAGGTTTAAGGTCCAAAGAGGATACAGTTTTATTCACCTGAAGAAAACAGCTGTCCAACTACCGTATTTTCCAGAGTACAAGTCACATCAGTCAAAAAAGCATCATGAAGAAGAAAAAAAATATATATAAGTCGCTTCAGTGTATAAGTTGCATTTATTATGCATCATATGTTTATTTAATGGTCAAAACAGCTTCATTTCGCCTGAGCGGTGCAGCGCCATCCATCCATCGCTGCCGGAGACGCTAGCTCTCCAGCTTTCTGCACCAGCAGAGTGAAGCAAGCACGCACGGGAGGACTCGCTGTTGCAGTTCTTCGAAATTTAACAAGATTAACGCTTAAAAACAATTATTTGTTTGCTCAACATTATAGCAAAGGTCTGTCTCAGTTTAACTTTTCCTTAATAAATGCGCTTTAATGGTCAAAACAGCTTCATTTTGCCTTGGCGGCGCGGCGCCATCCATCCACCAACTGAGTGAAGCGAGCGCACACGAGAGGACTCACTGTTGCAGTTCTTCGAAATTTAAAGCGTCAGTCAAAAATTGCATTATGAATATGAAAAAAATAACGTATATAAGTCACTTCGGCTTGTAAGATGCAGGATCGACAAATCTATGCAAAAAACTGTGACTTATACGCCGTAAAATACGGTACTTGATATGTTTGACACTCAGACAGCTAAAGAATTGGAACGTGCTGCTAATATTTTGATGTATGAAGTGTCTGAAAATATTAGTTATGAGGAAATATATTTTCTGCAGTTTAGTCCTAATATTTTCATTTGATTTTGGTTAAGTAGTTGACTTGTCATATTTAGGCTTTAGAAATGCTGACATCAAGTGACCAGGCAAGAAATGTACAGAAAACAGTGATTACATCATACTCATCTACTCTTTTAGCCATATTTTTATTTTTCTTGTGTATTTTTTTAAATGACCCACCTTACTCCTAACTTTTTTCTGTGTGTCCAGCTGAGTCTCAAGTTGCATTTAGTCCCGTTTCGAAATTTCTTATTTTTTCTCCAGCTCCTGCAAGAAATCCCAGCAGGCTTTGTGTGAAAATGATAAAACAATTGCAAGAATTAAATCATCTCAGATGACACAGCGTATGCACTGACTCAACAGTTAATGTTAAAAACCTTCACATCCATCTGACTTCGCCCTGCCTGCAATATTACAACTTATCTCGATGGGTCATGTGCTGTTGATAATGCATTTCTATCAAAAGCACATATTTCATCTGAAGCCTGAATCAAAGTTGTGATGCATTTTCAAACATGTTCAAATAAAATTCCACATTTTGAACTGTAAAATTGATTTAATATCTTTCTCTCGTGTCAATCTTGTTATAATAAAATATTTTGGCTGCATTCCAGTGTTTCTCAAATTCATAAAAAATAATAAATACAAGAAATATATATCAAAGCTGACCGTCTTGCTTTGCCTCTGTAAAATATTTTGGTTTGCCGTCTCCCTGAAGGTGGCAACACCAACCAGCAACAGACAACTGCACGTGTTAGCGGTATTTCAAGGCCTCCGACCTGCTTTAGAGAGGTCACAGGCCTGCAGCAATAGACTGACACGTCACCCCGCTGACTGTCACAAGGCTCGGTACTATTTGTAGGCATAGTTTGGGGCCTCGAGATTCATTTTGTTATCAGCTGCCTGGATAGTACAGAACTAAAACATGTTTTAACATAATTCTTTTAAAGGCTTCACGTGATCACTAACCCCCGTGCACGCTCACGTCCAGAAATCATCTTCATCACCACAAAGTTAACTTTCTGAAAACGTTGAGGAATCCTCACTACAAACAAAGGTCAGATCAGTTTCCAGATCTGTTTTTCTAGATTAGGGTCAGGGGTCAAAAGAATGACTAAATGTTTTTTTCTTACTAGCTTACATTGGTTATTGAAATGTGCAGCTTAAGCAAAATCTCTTGACTAGTTTAGTTTACAAGTCTTATGCTGACAAAAAAAAAAGTTTATCTTGCTGTGAAAAAAGTTCAGATAAAAAAAAAACCATTTTGGGTTATAATGATGGGGCTTGTATTTATTTCTGACTTAAATCAACCAGCAGCTATATGCTAGTCACCGATCCAGCCATTTCTGGGAGACCAAAAACAATAAAATCCTCCGTTTTAACCCAGTTTGAGCATTTTGCTTTGAACAGGCAGATTAGAAATTAAGAACAACTCCACCACGGCTGTAAATCACCAAGGAGATGCTTTTTAATAATAATAATAATGAATTTAATTTGTAACGCACATTTCATTTTTAGGTTGAATGCTTGCAGGCAAACCCTATTAAATGTAAACATCTGCAAAGGTGGCATGCAGGATGCAAGTTACATATTTTTGATAAAATATAAGAAAACAAAAACAACAAATTAAAACCGTGACAAGAATAAATGTTAAGTGTCCTAAAAGTGTATAACCCCCAGGGAAGCATAGTCAGGGTTCAACCTGTTGACCCAAAACAAGAACACATTGTTCCCATTGAAGATGTTAATAGTTGAGCCCAAAGTTCCCGTTTCCAACAAACTGACTTGGGACCAGTCCCTGATGCACTTTTCTTCCCAGCAGGTTGGCACAGGGTCACTTCCTGAATGATGACATCAGCTGAAAGGTTGATCTCTCCAGATGTTTGGACCACATTGGTGTGATACCACATAAAAAGTTTCTACCTTCGACTCTCTCAACATAGAATAAGAGACCTTTTAATGAGTATTAAAGTTGTTTAAACTGATAAATCACAGATTAAGAATTACACAATTAAAAGCCTAGCACTGCCTTAAACTGAAATCATCTTGAGCTGAAAAAACTATCAAGTTTTAGGAATTTTGGTTAAAAAAAAAAAATACAACTTGGCATTACGTGCAATTTTATACTCTGAAGAGGTTGGCCATCAAATTGACTCGACTACATCTACACAAAATATGAGCTCAATATCGAAGTCTGGCTGAGCTGCAGCCCTTTTAGCATTTTCCAACATTGGCCATCTTGAATCAGGTAGATTCCAAAAGTTAAATCAGATGTAGTAGATCCAATGATTACTTTGAGTGTTTCATTGTTTGTGCAGCACTTCTTCACATGCATGTCGGTGGAATAAAGGTGGCATTACCGTTTTCCATCCAGTTCCCTCTTTTGATCCACTAAGCCGTTAGCTTTGTTAAATTAGATACACGAAAGGGAATCGAGCAGCATTTGAACACAAACATGGAGAGAACATTTGCAGAGCCCTTAAAAAGGTCTTTTTCAAAGATTTTGTCTCCAAAAGTACTGATGTTCATTTATGTAAACCACTCCTCCCACTACAGGAATAACTTTGCACTTCCTTCATTTTAAATTTTTAGCTTAGACTACCGTTTGGTAACCCAACATTCACACTGTTTTAAAACAATTTAGACAAACCTGTGCATAATAAATGAACCTAAAAATCTTCATGTTAAACATGCTGCAAAAAGGTAGTTTCCAGTGTGGAGCTCAAACCACTGTGCACATCATCAGGTAAATGTTGCACATGATTTAATCTAGGGATTAGATGTTTCCCTGGAAACCTGGGCAAACAAAGCTGGCTAAATGACGCTCTTAACAGAATATCAAGGAACGCAAAGATAATTTGAAATAAACTTTAATAGATACTTAGAAACAAATCTACAACAAGGAATACAAATCAAGTGGAAGTTGCAAGCAAAAACAAAGAGGTGTAGCACTGTATCCACATTCAACTGAGTGCTGAACGTGCGTCACTTTTAAACATTTAAAACGTTGCCAGTCTGGCCTTCTTTCAGAACATCTGGGCAGCACTTTGTTGTTATGGTGCTTTAAAACCAAAGTTTGCTATGTCAACACAGCCTGCTTCCCAAACCTCCCATCTCATATTAATTTCATAAACACAAACGGTTCTCAGGTAACGGAGCAGAGAGTCAACCAATAATTACGCTGGTTCATTTCTATTCTCTAGATCAACATGTGCAAACCAGTGCTCGATTACTGGAGACTCCGGGAATTTAAAAACTCGTCCTCAACAGCATGTCGTTGAAATCTACCGCACTTAAAAAAAAAACAAAAAAAAAAAACTATGACTATTAAAAAAAATGTGTTTGTTGAGAGGTTTCCTGCAGATGCATGCTATAAATAATCACAGTGACATCTTTCGGTTAAAAGAATGCTGATGATGTGATGGGACACCTCCATGTCACAGAAACCTGATAGTGCGGTGTGTGGTCGGTGCTGCTCTTCAGACGCTTCCGTGCATTCATCCACATCTTACTAAAAAGCTCTCTGCTGGGTGGTCAGCGTCTCCTTTCTGTGCAATATCCATTTAAAATCTTTTCTAAAAACAGTTTCATTATAATGCTCAATTTGAGACTGTTGCCATTGAGTGTGCTGCCACCTTGTGGTCTGATAAGAGCAGTGCACCGTTGTGTCATTAAAAAGTTCAGCGTTCACCTCAGAATTGTTGGAGTAGATCATTTAAACTCAAAAAGCTACAAGACAGGAATGCATCAATGAACAAGTCTGAAGGTCACAGCAGAGGCACTGACCACTTGAACCTACAAACTGGAGGTGGCTGTCAGGGCAACAACTGATCGGTGTGTGTGCATAGTGCTCAGTGATTCCTGATTTGACAAAGTTAGAGAATACAGCTGCAAAGAGTCTTAAAAACAGGATAAGAAACTCAGAGTCTACCCACTGCCGGTGAAGATACATGCTGAATCAGCCATGGAGACTTGAATAATGCTGCCAAACGGGTTAAACCCAACAACGATCCCAGAGAAAGAGAGAAACAAAGGAGGGCTGAGCCTGCTGCGACAGCGTTGTCATCATTGGTAGAGAAGGTAGTTCTTGAGAGAAGCTGGCAGGGGTAGTCTATGGATTTCACTCAGACGGTCTCTTCCTAAAGCCACCCTTACTGAACGTCGACACAGGTCCATCAGTGAGAGGGGTTCAGCTAGGGGGAGACAAAAAGAGAGAGGGGGTGAGACATGGAAACTGTTTGACAGCCTTGTTTCAAGTGTGTGTAAATGTTCGATTGCAAAATAGATTTAGAAAAGGTATTCATAATGTAATGCTTCATCTTTGTTTAAAAAGGTAGGGACAATCAAAACAAAAATTACTTAAAAAAATAAAATAAAAAAATCTAGTGTCGCTCTTTTCAAACTTTGACTTGAATCAATTTGGTGTTTACCGGTAATCATTTGTCACCACAAAGGCTTTCAAAAGTTTGACTTTTTAAGAAGCTGATTATGCAAATAAAGAAAGCACAGGTGAGTGTTCGGGGCACACGCAACTTTCCTACATGACATGAACAAATTTACTGTTTTCATGAGAAATACAAAAACTGAGTATAAAATGAGAAGGGCAGATAAACCAAGAACCTGATATATATTTCAGTGATTTACTTCCTTCACCTACAACACATGTACTCGCAGCAGAGCAAGGTGCTGATCAGAGGAGGCCAAACTGCATCCGTTCGATGTCAGCAGATGAAAAGCCGAAGACACTCCGGAAAAAAAAAAAAGTTTTGAACAGCTTCAGATGTATTTGTCAAACTGTCCGATTAAAGCTCCAACTACTTTTGCTGATGATTAGGAGGAAGAGTGAAAAATGTTGGATTGTATACCTGGATTATTGAGCATGGACTTTGTTATTAGGAGGAAGAGTTGAGCAGTATCTAAAGTATTCATAAAATCCTCAGCGCTACAAGAGTTTAGTCACATCCAGGAGCTACACTTGTAGAACCACAGATAGGACTAACAGACTGAGCATGAGGCTGGACAAATCATCATGTCAAGCTGAAGCTGGCTTGTACAAGCACGTCATCTGTGGTGCTTCCTTTGAAACAGGACAAAAGTAGGTCAAGGAATCTGAGCAGAACATAATCTAATGAGCTGGGGTTGGTTTGATAAAACCTTCTGTTTCCTCGCTGAACACTCGTGTTTTCACCATTAACTAGACATGAATTTATACTTATTTAACATTACTCTCAGACAATGAAAGCATGTTTTTAAACAGCATTTGTTGTAAAGCTTCCTATTCTTGTTAAACAAGTCAAAGTACAGTTACTGTGAAAAGTAAGGCAGTTTACCGAGATCTTTCCTTACTGTGCCTTTCTTTAATTCATAAAATGGCATTTGACCTTTAAAATAGGAGGACAAATGTTAATGTCCATGCAGTTTAAACTGCAAAGCAAGAATAAGGATAACGTGGTGTTATGACACACTGTTTTACATAACAGCCAGACAGTCATTCAAATACAATAAAATAAGTCCTGTTTAGATGTGGACAAAAAAAAACCCAGTTATACTTTGTTTACTGCATTATAAAGCCTCTCACGAGTTAAATAAAACATCTTGACAGCAGCTCATAACAGAATACATCTTAAAACATTTAAATGTTATACTTACGGTCAAGTCCATTTATGTACCGGATACGTATTTCACAGTGTCCCCACACGGCGCTCACAACTGGGTACAGCTTTTTGCCTTTAAGTCCTCTAAACGCCACACCAAGATAATGTCCATCCACTATGTAACCAAGAGTCCCCTCATCCATGTCCAAGACTACCAAGAGGGAATCTGGGATTATGAAAGTGTCATCAGGTTCGAGGAAGGCCGGGTAGGTTTTTCCTGGCAGATTTTTGCCATCGTGGTAGAGTTTACTTCTGCACAGGTCCCAGCCCCAGGACTCAGCGTTGCTGCCTACCAAAGCCATGTAGCCCACAGAGTGCAGTGGGGCATCACTTGTAGCCACCCCAACTACAGCATGCGTGCCCCGCTGTCGCATTGCCCAGTGGATCTCCCATACGTGCAGTCCTCTTGTATAGCCAATGCGCGCCCTGATGGCATCTGTGCTTTGCGCCACAGGGTGCCTGTGAAACACCAGCTTGTTGTCGTCTTTGACAAACACGTTGAGGGAGCGGTCGTTATTGTTCCACGAGTGCTGGATCTGGACATCCAGGCCGGCAGGTGGCATGTCCAGCAGCAGATCCAGTCGAGATGGCTTGGTGTGACTCAGGGCCTGCAGCTCCACTGTCAGGGGGCTGAATGCCGGATCCCGCATGTCAATGGTTTTAATGCCACCTGGGACCTTCTGCCCCATGCTCCAGTTGGTTTTAGCAGCTCCTCCTTCACCCGCCTCTTCTGCCTCCCCCCCCCTCCTCAAAAGACAAATGGGGGGAGTAGTCAGCCTTAGACCTTCTCCTCCACCGTGCTCCTGCAGCCTGAGATGCAACTGGATGGTTGTGTCTAACACGGGCCACCAAGGTGAGAGGAGTGACGTTCAAGCCCTACCTAAAGGGTTGAAAAGCACAAAAGACAATCAACAAACTCTGTCCTTATTTAGACCCATCAAATCTGTACTAACCTAACAGACAGTTATTTCATTAGGGAATGTCCGCTGTAATTACATCAGCATTTACAAGAAATATAGTTCATGTTCACATTTACCAAGAAGTTCAGAACAGTTTTATCTACTTAGCTTCAGGCCTGTGACTGAAGTGCCTTTGTTCTCATGTGATTCTCAGTAAAAACACTTTGTTCTAAACCCTAACACATACTAACATACAGCAGATTTACACTGAAACTAGAAAACATGTTGTAATGTTCTTGAGGCTTACAGCTGGTAAAGTCATAAATGCATCATGATGCATTTACCTCATAAATCTTAATTCAATTTAAAGAGTTGAGTTGTACTGCAAAAAACCATGACTGTATAATCGTGTTTTCCTTACTGTCACTTTGCTGTAAAGTCAAGCCAACCAAGACAGACAAGATCAACAAGTTTCTGTTACCCAACAGTCAAATGTCTGTTAGATAGGAAAGATTAAGTAGAATAGATTAGATTATAGATTGAATGACTGGCTGAAGTTAAACATTTAATAAAAGATTTATAATTCATGTAAACACCATCTTTATAAACCAGTGTCTGAAATCAGGTATTATGACATTTTAATAATGTTTTAATAGTTCTTTTTTGTTAAGTTTAAGTGTTTGTGGGCAGTCACAGGACTTTATTTTTTTAATTTGTTGAATTAACCAAGAACAGATAATTCCAGAAATTATCCGGAGTTCCAGGTTTACCACACACACAAAGGTATTTGTCTTAGTTAGTTGGCTTGACACTGCAGCAAAGTGACAGTGACCATTAACACAACATTCACTTTTATAAAAGTTAACTAATACTTTAAAGTTGGAAGATTTGGTGCCCCCTCCCCCAATAAAGTAAAAGAAAACAAAAGAGTGCAGACAAATTAGTGCGATTTCTCAGATGTCAGCCTACAAATATATTTTCCACATTAATTCAAAATATTAAATATTATTAAAAAAATATATAAATCAACTGCCAGATTAATGAAGTGCTGAAAAGCTTGTCCTCTACAACACCACTGTTAATTCATGCTTTTTGCAGTAATATGGCTTAAAATTAGAGTGAACTAACATTCCTTTTTTAAAATGTTCTCCATATGCTGTGCTTCTTGAACTTTTCAATAAATCATCAAAGGAATGATCAGAGTGAGAGATTCTTTATCGTCGTTCGCGCCACATGTGGTACATGTGATATATGTGAATGATAACACGATAACTTGTCAAGTGGCTGCAATAAAATGTTTGACATACCAACCCAGGTAAATTCAAGACTTACTGCCATAAAGTTGGAAGTGCCGAATGCTTTAGAATAGGCAGTCCCCAACAAATAAATTCTGGGAAGTTGCTGGGCCACAGCTACGTTGAGGCAGGAATAGTTTCAGATCTACAAAAAACTTAAGCCTACTGACGTTTAAGCCCTACCTAAAGAGTTTAAAAACCTGCCTATATTACAAACCCATTACAATATATGGTAAATGGACTGTACTGTACTTATAAAGCACCTTTCCATCTTATCAAGATACTCAAAAGGCTTAATACTATAATCTGTATCCTCATATCCATGCAGCACTCTACTATATTTGTACAAAGATAATCAGAGATTTATCACATTCATAAACCGATGAGAGACACGTTGGAGGCAATGATGGGTTCAGTGTCTTGCCCAAGTACACTTCGGCATGTGACTGCTGGTGGAATCGAACCCCCAACTCTTGCATTGGCGGACGACTACTCTAGCCACTCATCCACAGCCGCCCTTAGTCGTAATGGAGCACTTAACTGTTTTATTAATGAGGAATCAGATCCTATTTAAATATCATATACTAAGGTTTCATGAAAACAACTGAACACAAGATGCATGACTTTAGCTCAGTAAAAATTCTGTACTTTTATGGCAACAATTCTTTAACAAAATCTGATGGCATACAACACTGATCTTTTAAAGATCAATTGAAAAAAATATACAAATATATACAAATATCAATATAAATAAAATATAAATGCCGCAGGTTCAACTCCGGTACTGTCAACATCAAAATGTGGATGGAAAAGGTGAAACACCTACACCTGCCTCCACTCTAGGCCCCTGAGCAAGGCCCTTAATCCCATAATATGCTCCAAAAAAAGAAAAGAAAAAAAAAGTGTCTCTTGAAAATGACTTCTTGTGACTCAATGAGACTACCTGTATAAATAAAGGGTAAATAAACGAAAAAATAAAATAAAAAAAGGTAAATTTTGGTGATGCAGGTGTCACTGTTGCTCTTTGGTCATCCTTATCAGACTACAGCAGTGACACTGCAGATTGTGTTGAGTAATGTAGAAAAATTGTGCTGCTGGGAAGGCCACTCTAATTAAATTGTAGACAATAGTTCATTGAGCAGTGTCTTGGCCCTTCTTCTAATGCAAGTAAACAACCATTTAAATGGGTCATGTCTCCTCAGTGATTGGAAAACAGGAGGGTAGAAAAAGCTAGCGGCGGGTGGCCAGCATCTGAATGTAAACAATCTCCTTTTCAATGCCTGTCTGGCATTCAGGAAGAGTGAAACATGTTAATTTGCACAGCCTTTGAGCCCATACTTTACAACACAACACAGAAAAATCAAAACTAACAGAAGGATAAAAGACTGTCCCACGTTTACCTTGAACTTTAAACAGGACAATTACAGGAATTTAAAAAAATGTCTTGTGAAAAAAAAAAAAAAAAAAATGCTTTTGAGACCAGGCCCTGGCTGGTTGAGGTCCTGGGCTGCTTTAAAACAAATTAAAATGCAAGAGGAAGTGCTCGATGGATTTGCTGAGCCAAGAAAACACTTGTTTCTCACGTAAGGTTCAATTTAGCCTAGCCCCACCTGAAACTAGCCTGCTTGTTGACCTGCAGAGCACATATGTATACCCATAACAGAATCATACATGTATTTAAAACAAATCTATAGTCCGTTTAATTTCACTTAATCTGTATGTTGTTTAATTAGGTGCTTAACCAAGTACTTATTCCATGACATCCAGACCTTGTTACGATTTTGCAAAGTCATCCTATATGTTTTGGAGGCAGTTTGTAGAGTTGCTGAGCTGTTAGGTAAACAAAACGTGCATTAGTCGCTGATTTGGTCAATTGACTGGTTTCAACACGACATAAAACATTTAGTGTTGCACTTCCCGTTTAAATGCGTGACGACAGACACGTCTCTTACTTGAGGACAAACAGCAACAGAAGTCTACATTTAAAAGCAGGCCTAGAGGATTTTTAATTAGCACGAACAAAAGCTCAAGTCACTACAACTTACAACAAACGCGTTAGCTGCCCGCTGTGGGTCAGCGAACGCGCGTCTGAAGGCCCCGTGAGCTCGTCAGGCTAGCAATGATAGTTGCTGTAGCCGGAAGCTAGCCGAGGTGAGCTGCGGGGCTCGAGGACCTCTACTACGGCCATTCTCTTCCACACTGCGGCCGCAGCGCGTGCAGCGACCGTTGGCGTCGCCGTACACGTTCACCCGGACGACAGTCGACGGCGGCCGGGACGTTTCTTTACCCGACAGGAAGACACGAGCAGCGTTAGCCCAAACAAACAGCGCGCTGTGGCTAAGATTAAGGGAGAGGCGACGGAGACCAAAACTGCCTCTCTTGTGCGGGACGTTCGGTGGGAAAGAGAGAAGCTTTCTCGGCAGTTGTTTTTGATACTAAACATGATGCGAAAAGAACGACTGAAAGCAAAACAACCTTGTGTGGAGCGTAGAGGAAACGGACCTTGTTGAGTTGTGAGGCGGTGGAGCAGCAGGATGGACGGGACCGGGCGTTTTCCTTTACTTCATTGTAGTTCCCCCCCTTTTTTTCCCCTTGTTGTCACACCTTTGTACCGCTTTGAGCCCGGACATGAATTGGGTGAAATGGTGACGAAGACGGCCCTAACGCCGCTGTCGGGTCACGTGGTACAAGGCTCCCAGCTGCTACAGCAGATTAGGACCTCCCATGAAACACGGTCTCGTCCCTTTGTTTGTTTGTTTAGAAAACACCAAATTGATAAATAATCAGTGCACTGCTCATATTTCTACGAAATTCATTAAAAAAAAATCCACTAATGCAAACCATATAATCCCTAATTCTAATTAGAAGAAAACACAAACAATAGCTACACAATTAAACTTTTCTGGAGACATTAGTTTACAAACCTCAAAATGTATTTGTATATGCTCATTTGACATAAATTAAGATGGCCCACACAAAACAAACACAATATTACAACACTATTCCAGATAACACCACAACATCAGCCAAACTAGAGCTAAGAAAATAATATAGGGCAAAAAATAAAGTCCAAAATATTGTCGTACTTGTGTTTCTTGAAATAGCAAACCTTGAAATGATACAGAATAATAAAATAATAATAGTTCAAAATTCCAGTAGAAATGTGTAATACTGTACCTCAATGATTGCACTCAGCCACTTCTATTTTATGTCAGTTTTTGTTGTTGTTGTTTTCAAATGATGCTGAGAATTATTTAAAGAGGACAGATGTTCATTGTAAAGTGCAGTTTATCTAAAGAAATCCTTTTTTCTTTTTGAAGTGTAATAATAGCAGGTTCCTTGGGCCAAACCGACAGATTATCATAAAATCCCTGTTCAGCTGATGTTCTTGTTAGGTTTTAAAGAGGTTTTTCAAGCAAAAATAATGATGCTCTGTATGTGGCTCAATCTGGTGTCTTTGTGGATTTAGAAAAAGCATATGACAGGGTGCTGAGGGAGAAGGTATGATATTGAATGAGGACATCTGGAGTGGGAGAGAAGTATGTTAGACTGGTACAGGACATGTGGTGAGATGTGCTGTAGGCGTGACAGATAGCTTCAAGATGGAGGTGAGAGTGCATCAAGGATCAGCTCTGAGCCCCTTCTTGTTTGCTCTGATGGACCAACTAACAGATGAGGTCCGGAAGGAATCCCTGTGGACATATGATGTTTGCAGATGACATTGTGATCTGTGGTGAGAACAAGGAACAGGTGGAAGAGAACTTGGAGAGATGGAGGTATGCACTTGAAAGAAGAGAAATGAAAGTCAGCCGTAGTAAGACAGAGTACATGTGTGTAAATGAGACGGAGGCTGGTGGAACAATGAGGGGCGCTACAAGGAACAGAGGTCACAAAGGTGCAGGACTTCAAGTACTTGGGGTCCACTGTCCAGGAAAACAGGGAGTGTGGTAAATAGATTAAAAAAGAGTCCAAACAGGATGGAGAAAAGTTTCAGGAGTGATTTGTGTCAAAAGGGCGTCAGCAATGGTCAAAAGAAAAGTTTTCAAGACAGTGGTGAGACCAGCTTTGTTGTATGGTCTGGAGACAGAGACATGGACAAAAAGACAGGAGAAAGAACTGAAAGTGGCAGAAATAAAGATGTTGATGTTAGTTCTCCTTAGGAGTAACAAGGATGGATAAGATTAGGAATGAGATCATCATCAGAGGTACAGCACAGGTTGAACAACTGGGAGATAAAGTTAGAGAGGCCAGATTGAGATAGTTTGGACATGTCCAGAGGAGGGACCATGGGCATACTGGTAGAAGGATGTTAGAAATGCAGCTGCCAGGAAAAAAAAGACAATGAGAAGGACCTAAGAGGAGATATATTGAAGCAGTTAGAGAGAACATGGAGGCAGTTGGAGTGAGGACAGAGGACAGAGTGAGATGGAGGAGGGTGACTCACAGTGGCGACCCCTAAAAAGAAACAGCTGAAAGAAAAAGATGTGGTTCTCTCTGGTGGTGGCTATTTCCTCTCACTTAATGACATATTTTTAAATGACAAAAACAACAAGGTTTGGTTTAGTGTTGGTATACTCTTTCCACAGTACTAGTTTGTCTAGAGGACACGTTTTGGTGATAAGAACCAAAAATAATCAACATCGTCCAATTTGCCAAAAACAAAGTATATGAGAAACCACAGCAGCAGTAAACCACTTCTGTTCCCACAATGACCTCAGCCTGACCTTTCACGTTTCAACTAACAGTGAGTGTATGTGGGTCGCTGCTGCTCACTCCGTCACAATCACATCATTCTGCCCCAACAAGTGGAACACCGAGGAACAGATCATGGTGTGGAAACAATCATCTCATCTTGAATGTGAACAAAACAAAGGGGATGATTGTAGATTTCAGGAGAAACAGGAACAGGTCCAACCCTATTTCCATCATGGGAGAAGAAGTGGAGGTGGTGGAGAAGTATAAATACCTTGGAGTTCACCTGGACAACAGACTGGACTGGAAATGCAACAGTGAAGCCGTCTACAAGAAGGGACAGAGCAGACTATACTTCTTGAGGAAGCTGAAGTCCTTCAACGTTTGCAGCAAGATGCTGCATATCTTCTATAAGTCTGTTGTGGAGAGCGCTATCTCTTCTGCCATCATCTGCTGGGGTAGCAGCACCAGAGCAAGTGACTTAAAAAAGATCAACAAGCTCATAAAGAAGGCTGGCTCAGTTCTGGGGACTCCTCTAGAACATTTGGAGATGATTCTTCATAAAATGAATAACATTATAGACAACCCTCAGCATCCTCTTCATCAGACTGTCATACAACAACAGATTGTCTTCAGTCAGAGGCTTCTTCAGATGTGCTGCAAGACAGAGCGCTACAAGAGATCCTTCCTGCCCACAGCCATCAGCATCTACAACTCTTTAATGAAACCAGGATGATGAGTTACAACAACATTTAATTTCCCTCTGGGATTAATAAAGTATTTTTGAAATTTGAATACTTCTCATAGCACACAACCTTCTTGTTCAGCCAGACTTCAGCTGACTCAGTCACTTCTAATCTGTCAAACCAATATCTTGACAAACATCTTGACAGCAAAGTTCATTCGTGAGTGGAACAGAAACCTTAGCATTGACGTGAATAATAATGATCTGCTCTCACTGAGTTTTAATTTATGTAAAACACTGGCTTCAAAACCTGCAGACTTGAAGGAAACGTCTACAGCAAATTTCAGGTGAATGTTGAGGAAAAGACACTGTTGCCACCTAGTGGACTTTCTTACCTTCTGCCTGAGCTGCCACTTCATGCTGAGCCTGCACAGACTCCTGAACATTCAGGGTTAGCATTTAGCTCTTTAAGGATTCACACTTTGCAAGTGGCATGCATGTTCTTTCTGAATAAATGCTGGAAGTTTAACTAATGGACATCTGAAGCTGAATAAACTTCCTCCTTCTCCACACAGCCCTTTTATCCTCAGCACTGGTTTGTTTGGCATTTGTCATGTGAATTCTTTGTGACAGGGACTGGGATGAAAAAGACCTTTGAAAATGACCTTATTTGTTCAATGTGCAATGCTTCTGAAGGTAACTTGTCTCAGTTTACATCCTCGGTGAGGAACATAGCTCGGCGACTTGAATTACCTTCCACTCAGCTCATCTCCCAGTGAAAATCCCATTTTCCCATGTGGAGATGGTGCAATGTGCTGAGCTTGGTGATATCTCAGGACCACTCCACAGCAGAGGAGGGGCGAACAGACATGCTTACTGCCTCCCTTTTAGAAACCATCATTTCAGCAGGATCAATAGTACATCCCACTCCACGGCTGGCAGAGTGCGCTACCTATATAGTGTGTGGGGGATTGTGGTGTGTGTGTGTGTGTGTGTGTGTGTGTGTGTGGGTGCATGGAGCTGCAACCAAGGCAAGTTCAAGCAACGCACACAGCCAAGGTGAATGATCGCATGCTGCGTCAGACACTCTGCGATTCACTTGCTCCCAGATGCAGTTTCTGAAGAAGACCAGAGGGCGGATGCTGTCTTCAAGTGGTGGAGGCAGTTGCAGTCAGCGTATTGATGAAGCTCTGTACTGGTTCAACTGTACTGAACTTCGTGTTCTGACTTGTGTTTAACCAAACTCACAAATGTGCAACGAGACAAATAAAGTTGACGCACCTCCTGCTCATGTCTGTTTTAATGTTTGCCATTTTGAACTCTTTGACTGTAACAGAGGTTGAACATTTAGACTGATGCTGGAGGTGAGAAGATATCTTATGTTTCAGTGTCTCGCTTGCAATTTAAGACCTGCAGAGTTCAGCTCTGTTAAGAAAGCCTTACACAGCAATAAAAGATTTACAGAGTAGCTGAGAATTTCAATTATTCCAGGAATACTGACCAATGAGTTTTTCTTTCGTATCTATCATTTTAATTTTATGGTCAACAACACAAACTAGTACCGGAATCATCAGTTTTTTTGTTTGTTTTTTTCTTAATATTATCCTACACTGAACAAAAACAAACGCAACACTTTTGTTTTTGCTCCCATTTTTCATGAGCTGAACTCAAAGACCTAATGTACACAAAAAGTTTTTTCTCGAATATTGTTCACAAATGTGTGTAAATCTGTATTAGTGAGCAATTCTCCTTTGCCGAGATAATCCATCCACCTCACAACTGTGGCATATCAAGATGCTGATTAGACAGCATGATTATTGCACAGGTGGGCCTTAGGCTGACCACAATAAAAGGCCACTCTAAAATGTGCAGTTTTATCACACAGCACGACAAGTTTTGAGGGAGCATGCAGTTGGCATGCTGACTGCAGGATTGTCCATGTTCAGAGAATTTGGCAGTACATCCAACTGGCCTCACAACCACAGACCATGTGTAACCACACCAACCCCCATGCTCATTGTACATAACATGCGTTGCCCATACCATAACCCCACCGTCACCATGAGCCACTCCATTCACAATGCTGACACCAGCAAACTGCTCACCCACATGACACCATCCATGCA